CCTTTCGATATTCGTGCATATCGGACCGTAACTTCCTGAATTATGGCCCCTGATTGTACGAAAAATCACTTTCTTTTTAGCTTGTTCTCTATCAGTCTCTCGAAAATGTGGGCGTATCCTGCCTGGCAGCCGCTGGTTTTATTTAACTTCCCCAACTCATTATTATAATATTTTTTTTTTATAAACTAGCTCCTAAAGCTTCTTTGGATGTTTGTTTCATTGCCTGGCAACTTTTTTTTAATATACCACATTATCATGTGGACATATTTTTGATAAGCTGCTGTATATTGAGAATCTCCTACCAGTCTTTTTTTATATCAAAAAATATCAACACTGTAGAATGTATTTTTGGGTGATAAAAAAGTATGTCCACACTTTGAGTGGCTATCTTTCGAATTCGGTGTGAAGCATTGGGATAGTCAGAAATCGAACCCTTTCGTTCTGGAGTTACCTTCCCTTTCCTGAAAATCTTTTTACAAATTTTTTAACAAAGATTTGATATTAAACTAAAGTGAAAGAAATTAGTGCTAGATACACCAAATTAAATGATACTTGGGTTATAGGCCCTAGTGATAGCGCCTACAGTTTTTAATGTTTTTTTTTTCAATTTGGTGTGAAGCATTATTAGGACTGTGAGTGGTTGAAGTCTTTTTTTTTTCAGTCGGATGAACCGTATTGATTTTCATGTGGGCGAATATTGTTGTTAATCCTGCTACATTTAGTATTCAATCTTTTTGAAATTTATATATGTTGTTTCAGTGTACATTAATGAGACGAGGAAGCAATTTATGCTGTCGACGTTTTTGGCTAATTGCCAGAGCTGTATGTGACTATTTGTTTTTGCCCACAATGGAATGAAAGTCGTGACTCAACTCAATGTATACAAACTCCCAATTTTTGGGTCAGATTCAGGCTTTTAGATTTAAGTTTCTCGAACCCTTCAAATTTTCAAGTCTGGATGACCTGGCGCCTGGTACGTTCGGGCATTTTTTAATGCGCGAACTCTTAGGTTTTTTTTACTGGCATGCGCACAGGTACTATTTCTTTTTCTTTTAACAAGTACCCAAATCGGGGATTTCGTGCGGAGGTAGTTCGGAGGTAAACAGTCTGTGAAGTACAACACTTGCCACTGTACCTGTGTATCGCTAATTATAAACCGAATGTGTGAAGACAGTTCATACATATCACTCAAAAATTTTTCAGTACAAACTCAGTTGATTCACGCTCGATTTGCTACTAAACAAACCCATCGGTTTATTTTCTCAACAGTGTGACCCGAAGTGACCGCGGATTTATTGACCTTGTATGAACTTATCCATAGCTATATCCTTACACCGAGAGAAATTATCTAGTCTCGGTGAAAAGAACCATGGTCATCTGGTAGAAAATTACTTTTGTATTTTTTGGAACGGAAAACAGTGTTTTTAGAAGCAAACTAACCTGCCGCACATGAGGAAGTCATTATACTAATAATAAAAGGCGAGACCTCTTTTTGCGGCGCAGGCTTATCACTGAGTAGTAAACCGTCCACAAACAATAATATAGGAAGCCTAGTGACGAGTGTATGTAAGTAGGCTATAGACTATAGGTTTGAGTCGAGATTACTCGCTTTCAGTTTACTCTGTTTTTGCGATAACCAATTATGTGAGAAATACCATACTGACATTCGGTTTTTAAAAGTTATACGCGAACTAAATGCGTATGTTAGATACTGACAGAGCAGCCCCGAGTTGAACAATCGCTGCCCGAGCTGTCTTCGTCAGCTAGTTTCAAAATGGCGTACAGCCAGTGCCAGTGGGAAAAGACGACAATAAAATCAGAAATATGTTATTTATTATTGTCGGACTTACGGTATTTATTGATAGGCTACATGTATATCTAAAGAATACTGGCATTCATGTTTGATACGACTCCTCAGTCTCCTGTAACCCTAACCAGTAAAAGGAAGGAGTGGAATCCACATTTGACTATTTGTTGGAAATGTACGTATAATTATGACCAAGAAACTAAAAACCATAGCCAATATAAAAAATGTTGTTGAAATTTTTTTTCCCTGTATATATATATTATGATATTCGACATGGTATTGAGTATTGGAAGCGAAGTACAGAGTCAGGGTACAAACACTTTTCAATTTCAAAAGGTTAGTGGAAAGGTGCCTGGGTCGATTTTCTCTGTTTTTGCGATAACCAATTATGTGAGAAATACCATACTGACATTCGGTTTTTAAAAGTTATACGCGAACTAAATGCGTTTGTTAGATACTGACAGAGCAGCCCCGAGTTGAACAATCGCTGCCCGAGCTGTCTTCGTCAGCTAGTTTCAAAATGGCGTACAGCCAGTGCCAGTGGGAAAAGACGACAATAAAATCAGAAATATGTTATTTATTATTGTCGGACTTACAGTATTTATTGATAGGCTACATGTATATCTAAAGAATACTGGCATTCATGTTTGATACGACTCCTCAGTCTCCTGTAACCCTAACCAGTAAAAGGAAGGAGTGGAATCCACATTTGACTATTTGTTGGAAATGTACGTATAATTATGACCAAGAAACTAAAAACCATAGCCAATATAAAAAATGTTGTTGAAATTTTTTTTCCCTGTATATATATATTATGATATTCGACATGGTATTGAGTATTGGAAGCGAAGTACAGAGTCAGGGTACAAACACTTTTCAATTTCAAAAGGTTAGTGGAAAGGTGCCTGGGTCGATTTTCTCTGTTTTTGCGATAACCAATTATGTGAGAAATACCATACTGACATTCGGTTTTTAAAAGTTGTACGCGAACTAAATGCGTTTGTTAGATACTGACAGAGCAGCCCGGAGTCGAACAATCGCCGCCCGAGCTGTCTTCGTCAGCTAGTTTCAAAATGGCGTACAGCCAGTGCCAGTGGGAAAAGACGACAATAAAATCAGAAATATGTTATTTATTATTGTCGGACTTACGGTATTTATTGATAGGCTACATGTATATCTAAAGAATGCTGGCATTCATGTTTGATACGACTCCTCAGTCTCCTGTAACCCTAACCAGTAAAAGGAAGGAGTCGAATCCACATTTTACTATTTGTTGGAAATGTACGTATAATTATGACCAAGAAACTAAAAACCATAGCCAATATAAAAAATGTTGTTGAAATTTTTTTCCCTATATATATATATTATGATATTCGACATGGTATTGAGTATTGGAAGCGAAGTACAGAGTCAGGGTACAAACACTTTTCAATTTCAAAAGGTTAGTGGAAAGGTGCCTGGGTCGATTTTCAATCATGTCGTGTTCATCACCATGAGGGGGGGGGGGGGGATTTTTTTATCAACATTTTTTTACATTGATTTGTAGTTTCTTGGTTATGTCGTACAAATACAAATATATGTATACCCGAGGTTTTATGACACTTGTGGCAGTGGTCGAATCAAACATGATCGCCACATTCCTTTACGCCATAACCATACCTTAGCCCTCTGGAAGCTCAATATGTATTTAATGTCCGTTTCGCGTTAAATACCATTTCTAATATTGTACATAAGTGAAGAAATTTTTTCTGCACCAGTTCTGTACAAAATTTATCTGATTACCGCTGCAGCATGCCATAAACCACCCTTCCTTCATTCCCGGTACCGCACAACCCAATTTACTTGCGCTAGCTCTTTGCATAAAATTACCAACTCCCGGTGTCTACGTGACATAACATCTATTCCTCATCGCAATGCATTTCTTGGGTTGGGGTGCAGTCATGGGCGTCACACATGAGGGGGCCCGGATGGGTCTCCCCCCCCCCCCTTATTTTCCAGATGTGGTGGGGGCGAAATATACTTGGTCTCCCCTCATATTTATTTTAACAGATATTATAATTATTTAACATTCTATCTGTATAAAACTTGTACATATCCCAATATGTCAGACAGCACCAAAATTATTTCCATTTTGTGACAATTTCTGAAGAACCTCTACAACTGACCCCCACCCTTTGCGAATGAGGGCCCTCCAAATAAAACCACCTCCACCATAATAAACCTTAAAACGCCCCTGACTATCACAGTAATTACTAAACTGTTGTGTACAATTTTTCTATTAACATATGTAACAGTCATTAAAAAACGTCTGAATACGGCACCCCCTGACTTAAACATGATACACATTGTATAGACCTATTGCACGTTCATGGCATGTCAAAGGTTAATCGGGGATAGATGATAAAAACACCAATCGAAGCGACTATAAATCAAAACACGGTTGATTCAACACGACTTCATTGGTTATTCAATACGTCGTTAACCCCGAATAACCTTTCACACGTCCAATCACAATATCGTGCAATAGGTGTATTAATGTGATTTTTAGGTTTAACCCCGCAAACAATGCCAAAATAGTGTTCTCACTGCTTACAGAAAACTGAAATTTAAAAAAAAAATTTTTTTATGAGGGTGACCCTCCCACACACTCCCTATCGAGCTGTCGCTCGGTCTGCGCAGCCTCATGCCTGGCACATACTGTCAACATTGTATATTTTTCCGTTTCCGCCCTTCCCCCCCACAATATATATTTCACGGCGACGGTACCAGCATACGCAGTTGTTGACACCCATTACATCACTCCTGTCTAACAAATCATAAAGCTGTGGTGTTACGGTGGCGGCATAGTATTTCACCGTAACACCACAGCCACTCTAACCATTCATAATACATCTAACTATCCCTTTACAGCACTTCACTCCCTACACATTTCCCCTCGTCCTACTTTCCCAAACGTCAACAACACATCTCATACATCCAGTTCGCTGATTAACCCTTGTACCACGTCTACTGGATCCGCGCCTGATTTGGTCAACATCCAAGTTTTCCTCTCAGATAAGCTGCTGTTCTATGACTGTCTTTTTTTCGAGACACACTGTTGTGTGGGCATATATCCATGCTTTACGTGGCTATCTTATAAGCTTTCAACCGTAAAAATTTATCTAATAATTTTAAATTCTTTCTGTTCCTACAGGTTTTTTGCAGATTTGAAAGGATCAACTGTAGAAATATCAATAAAAAAAGGAGAAAATATAGATGGTGGTTTATTGAAAGTTATAAGAAAGGGAAACAGATTAGATGTTATACAAACATAATTAATCGTAATAATTTTACTATAAGATCTGTAATAATGTGGTAATTAATCTGTTATGTTTCCAAGATCGGTAATAATTCTATCAGATTTGTAATAATGATAAGATCTGTAACAATGCTAAAATTCCTGATAATTGCATTGAAGATCGGTAATATTGTAAAGATGTGTTATAATTCAGAGGTCTATGGTTAACAAAGTTATAAGCATAAAATTATTATTAAGGAAAATGTAATAAGGTATACCGAGTATGATAAAATACAGTAATGAAAGTACTTGGTCAGAAAGGAAAGTTTTTGAAAATATTTTATTTAATAACTTATGTTTATGAATTAATTATGGTGCATGATAAATTTCTTTTATTCTGGACTACTATCTTACAAATATTAATCAAACTATATAATGTGCTCTAATAATTGTATTAAATTAAATTATGTGTTGGTACATGTATCTAGTCACACACACACACACACACACACACACATTTATAAATATATATAATTAATAATGATATATGCATTTATATTGATATTATATTAGCTTTATATGTTTAGTTGATTATATTATAGCAGAGAATTTAAAAGAGTTTTAACTATTTATACATTTGTCTTTAATTTAAGATTGTTATTTTCATACACCCATGTATATATTGTCGTCACCCCTTGTGGACCGTCTAGAAATTTAAAATTTATGCAGTGTTATGTTAGGGAGACAAAGAATCTTATTGATTTTCAACAATTTCTGTTAATTACAGTGGGAGTTATTGCCCTTGACCAATTTGAGAAATCTTGTTGATGCTCAAGTTATCTGACTAATACAGTGTTATGTACATGACACAAGGAAGTTTCTTTATATTTAAAGTTTTCTGATAATTACTGTCAGGGTTATCACCCTTGATCAACTTGTACATTTATGGTTATGATTAAACTGAAAAATCTTGTGGATGTTCTAAGGTAGGGTGGTCTTCGAAGAAAGCAGGGAACTATTAAAATGAGTTCGACCGTCCATCTGTCTGTCTGTCTGTCTGTCCGTCCGTCTGTCTGTCCGTCACCCTTTTTGGGACACAATAACTCTCTTTCTAATTGAGCTAGAATGTTCAAACTTGGTGTAGGTGTTTATTAGGTCAATTCCTTGATGGAGTTCGAAGATGAGTATTTTCTGCTTAGGCTAAGCAGAGATAAGCAATTTGATTGATTAATGCTTTGGGACACTATAACTTTCGTTCTAATGAAGTGAGAGTGATGAAACTTGGTATATAGTTTCATTACATCAATACCTTGACTAATTTTGATAATAAGCATTTTCTGCTCAGGGTAAGCAGAGTGATAAGCAATTTGATTGGCCGAGACTTTGGAACACAATAACTCTCTTTCTAATTGAGCTAGAATGTTCAAACTTGGTGTAGGTGTTTATGAGGTCAATGCCTTGATGGAGTTCGAAGATGAGCATTTTCTGCTTAGGGTAAGCAGAGATAAGCAATTTGATTGGTTGATCCTTTGGGACACGATAACTTTAGTTCTAATTAAGTGAGAGTGATAAAACTTGGTGTATAGTTTCATTATATCAATACCTTGACTAAGTTCGATAATGAGCATTTTCTGCTTAGGGCAAGCAGAGTGATAAGCAATTTGATTGGTCGAGACTTTGGAACACAATCACTTTCATTCTAATTGAGTTAGAATATTCACACTTGGCGTAGGCGTCTATTAGGTGAATGTCTTGATGGAGTTCGAAGATGAGAATTTTCTGCTTAAGGTAAGCAGAGATAAGCAATTTGATTAGTTGATGCTTTGGGACATGATAACTTTAGTTCTAATTAAGTGAGAGTGAGGACACTTATTGTATAGCTTTATTACATCAATACCTTGACTAAGTTCGATAATGAACATTTTTTGCTGAGAGTAAGCAAAGTGATAAGCAATTTGATTGATTGAGCACAATAGCTCTCCTTATAATTGAGGAGAATGTTCAAACTTGGTGTAGGCGTTCATTAGGTAAATGCCTTGATGGAGTTCGATGATGAACATTGTCTGCTTACGGTAAGCAGAGATAAGCAATCTGATTGGTTGATGCTTTGGGGCACGATAACTTTGGTTATAATGAAGAGAGAGCGATGAAACTCTTAATATAGATTCATTTTATCATTACCATGACTAAGTTTGATGGTGAGAATTTTCTGCTTAGGCTAAGGAGCGATAAGCAATTTGATTGATCTAGACTTAGGAACATAACAACTCTTTAAACTTGATGTAGATGTTCATTAGGTGAATGTCTTGACTGAGTTCAATGATTAACATTTCGAGCTGAAGCTATAAAGCAGAGCTAATCGATTTCATTTGTCGATGCTTTGGGACAAGATAATCTTGATTCTATCTGATAGAGAGTGATGAAACTTAGTGTATGGTTTATTGCTTGATACTTTTGAAATAAATAAATGTGCGATTAATTAATATGTGTCATCTATTTATTTTGGGATTTCGGCAGGGGACATCAGCCTCACTGTTGGCTTGTTATAAAAAAACGTAGAAATATATATTAAGATTCAAGGTTCTTTCTTTTCTTGTATCTCTTTGCTGGGATTGACAGGTGTTTCCACATATTGGTAAAAATTTCAACACTGTCCTACGGACAATATTGTGCCAACATATGAAACTAAAATAAAAATGTCACATACTGTTTATATGTAACATTCAACAAATTGCCTTTTTTTAGTCCACTTTGCCATGTTTTGTTTTTTTCTCTGAAAAATTGCAAGAAAATGTTCCAAAGATTTTGCGAATTAACTTACTACTGATTTGTCATTATATTATAACATGTTATTAGGGTTGGGTATATATGAACTTTTTCCTGTGACATGTGGTTTCTATGGCCATTTTGTACGCTGAACACAAATCCGTCTGAATTTTTGACCTAGGATGACCTTTGACCCTGGAAAATTAAATTTATTGAAAATGGCAGTCAAATTTCATGTTTTTGGTCAAATATATAAACATACCGTCAAATACCTAGATATAAAGGTTCTATAGGTAGGAAAGAATGTAAAACAACATTTCAGAACAGAATCCGTGGGATTTCGTCGATTGTGAACAAACTACTGAATAATTGTTATTAAAAACTTGCCTATGTGTTTGAAATGACCTCCGGTTGAATAAAATCCATTGCACAATTGAATATCCCAACGAAAAAAAAGTTCTCTCTTGAAAAGTCAATGTTTTTGCTTGCATTTTCGACTAAGTTCATCACAACATTGTACATGTCACGCGATGAGCTAAACCACCTTAATATGTTGAAGGGGGCAATGGTTGACAAATTTTGACAATCACGTGTGCTGCAATCACAACAACGCGCGACCTTTCCGATCGTTTGAGTTTGGGCAACAAAAATGGCAACTGAAGACAATAAAAGTAATTTGGAAACAATTGATTGTCAGTCTACTAAATTTTATACTCAATGAATATATCACCTATTAACGAATATTCGTAAATAATGTTTTTCACATCATCATCACCCCATAATTGTAAATACCCTGTATATTATTCATATTTTAATAAATTATATTAGGCCCTACATCCCTGTCAATTATATGCAACTCTGTGGCTAACATTTATAAATAAACAAACTTTATTTCATAATTTTAATTGATAATATTTCATAACGCGGGATCTAATCCCAATGCTGTGTGGTTATTAGTCCATTTTCAAAGTTTTATGATTACCACAAAAACTATGAAAAAAGGCCACCGCTTCTCAATAATTTTTATATTTAATTCTCGTTCCGACTGTTCACGTCAATAATATTCCTGATCAAATTACTTTTTTGGAGGTTTATTCGACAGATGCTGAAATCGAAACATTGTTGATAAGAACAGTTCAGGATGTCTAAACATCGTTTATCGTCTTTATAAAAATGTATTTAAAACAAAATATTATGAACAGTTTTTGCACAACGGAAATGATATTCGAAGAGAAATAGAAAGACATGGAACTATCTGCTGATAATTAAACCAATGTGCGGTATGATTTGTTGTTGATAATAATTTTTGGTATTTATAAAAAAAAATTAATAACATTATATACCTATTCAATGATTCAATGGCCTCGAGTATTAATTTTGCCGAGGCAAATGTAAAATACATCGGCATTTATGCATTTACCCCAGCTACAGCAAATTGCAGAGGTTAATTGACAGGACTGCTTAAGTTCATCAGAAAATATTAAAGGAATGTCGTTCTTTTTGTTCTGCACTAGGGTGACCACCTTTGCTTGATCATATTGCGGGACATTATCTTTTTAAAAAACAACTGAGGCAGAATGCATAACAATGTTGATGTATAGTTACTTCACTTTTCGACATAGCAACAATAGAAAATTAAACTATGAAATATTCACACAAGCTTGGTTTGTATTCGTATGTCATATGATATTTAGGCTACATAGCAACAATATAAATTCAAGTCATATAATATTTATATCAGCATGTTTTGTATTCGTATGCCAGCATCATCTTGCATTTAAAAAAAAAAACGAACACAATTTCTTTTATAGATGTAAAAATATCTTTCTTTCGTTTCAAACAAAATATATAAATTATTAATTTGTGCGACAGAACCATTTGAAAGGGTGTGTGTAAATATGTATCATGACATTGAATGAAATTTTTAAGTTACAATCAAATGACTGCCGAATTATCATCCATGTACATTGATCGTTTGTCGCTAAAATTAAATCATGCTGAAGGTAGTGAAATGTATTGAGATTTTATCGCTAATGTTTAATCATGCTGAATGTTGTGGAACTTATTGAGATTTTATAATAACTGAGTATAAAGGATGTTATGCTGGTTTAAGATACATTATTTAAGAGCTGGGGGTTGGATGGCCGAATGGTTAGCACGTGCGAGTATCATAAAGTCTGTCATTGAGTCAACTGGCATGGTTTCGATTCCCCGGTTGTACATGACAAGGAGTAGGGTTGCCTGTCCAACCTCGTCGGTTTCTCCTCCAGTTTCCTCCCACTGCTAAAGACCCCTATGCGGAAGCGAATGATTGAAATACAATTAAACCATGTGTTAGTCCCAATATGACCTAGTTTGTGTTGAGTTGATGTTAAACCCCATCTCTCTCTCTCTCTCTCTCTCTCATTTAAGAGCTAAATTTGCCTATTGCAGATCTTTCCTTTGACTTCAAATGTTTTATAAATAATTTATTTACATACCAGGCACATAATCAACTCTCTAGAACTTCAGATGGTTTTGATTTTCAACAGATTTATGATTTAATTTAAAATGACAATCGAGAGTACACTGTTCTGTAAACGACGATAACTACTCTCAGAATGAAGTAATTTGACTGACATTTTCAACATATTCCCTTTTCATTATCTATTTTTTAAAGATACAATATGTAAGATTTAGATAAAGAGCTGACCATTCTTGCTATAATAGCTCAAAAATAGATAATGTAAAACGAAAATATTGAAAATTTCATTCAAATTACTTTATTCTAAGCCAAGTTATCACTGTTTGTTGCTTTGACAAGATGTGTGCATTGTGGTAACCAGGGCACTGGTATATTCGAGACTAAGCATCGCTTTCCCATTTTAAAATTCTAATCTAGTTCAAATCTCGAGGATCCGATGTCATTAAGAGTTGATTATGGTCTTGTTTTGTTAATTAATGTCTAATTAATAGTTTATATAACATTTCAGCCCCAGAAAGACCTGCAATAGGCAGATTTACCCCTTGGTTTGTTTAAACTATTATTGCGAGAACTGTCAGTTCTTTATCTAAATCTTACGTAATGCATCTTTAACTTTCCCTGATTGATCACCATGTCATGCTATATTAATAAAACAAGATACCTTTACACAATCATCTGTTATACGTCAATAGATATATTTGAATTTTAATAATTCATAGATAACAAAGCGAAAGCGATTGTAATTGATACTTTATTAAACCAAGTATACATATCAAAATAAAGGAACAAGCAATTCGATACATCAGTTGTCTTCCAAAGGTTTTTTTTTTTATATATAAAATAGAAATGCATAGCCTTCGGTCACAGCAAATGCCCCAATAGTCAGCTGATGTTTTGGGTTTATGTGATTCACCATGTAACAAATACTAGTATTTATTTAATTTTATTGTAAGAGAGGGGGGGGGGGGAAAGGGTTAACACATGCACTTTAGATCATAAGTTCTATCATTGAGTCAAATGGCATGGTTTCGATTCACCGCTTGTACGTGACAAGGAATAGGGTCGCCAGATTGCCATCTAACCTCGTCCACTGGTTTCCTCCCAAAGCTAAAGCCCTCATGTGCAAGCGAATTATAGTTTGTGTCGAGTGGGCGTAAAATCCCATTTATCCTTTTTTTCTGTTCTCTCTCTCCCTCGATTGTCTTGACAATAATTGGCTTTGGAAGTTTATGCCATAGAAAAGGTCTAGCATAGGACAAAGCACGTTTTCCAAGTTGTAAGTTAACATTTGGAGATTTTAGAAGATGTATTGTCTGAGAAAGTTTTTTAAAATATAATATGTGAATTAATTATATTCATTTAATTTTATTTTCTTTGAGTATGGTGACGGTCGTGGTGTTGTCGGTTGCGCTGCTGATAGTGGTTGTAGTTGTAGTGCAAGAGGTGGGGTGTAAATGTTATATATTATTTATATTCGTTGATTTTTGTCTTGGTGGCGGGCAATATTTTCCATTTCTTATGTTTATTACATTAAAATATATATTTCTCTGAGTTAAACGTAATTGAAATGGTGTTTAACGTCCGACTGGGCTAATGAAGACAGGCATACGCCATATTGTGTCCTATGAGGGAATTTGTGCCAGGGACCGGTGCTACTGCCTACTCTTATATCGAATTCCAACTGCCAAGGATTCTTTTACACCTCATCTGATGAGTATACGTTGCCCAAGGCCCTCTGTCCTGCACCAGTGACAAGGGGGAACCACGCCGGTGGGTTTCGGTGGATTTCCAGAATGATGTACAGGGAAAGGTCATCATCTGCAAGTTGGTACCAAAAGACCTTCTAAAGGAATTTTGTGGTGGGTCTTTCAGTATTTTGACTAGACTAATACTAAAATAGACTATCACGAGAAATAATCCCACCCAACTCTCTAACCAAATAATTAATACAGGACGGAAACAAAATAACGGACTACGGGCATATTTATGTTTGTAAATGCCCAAACTCAGAGCTGGGTCTGAGAGCAATAGCTTATTCATACACAAAATTTGAATTGTCGTGAAAGAGCCAAACACCCTTACGATAGATAAGCCTTGCTGAGACCCCCTTATACGAAATGATCTGTCTCGATAAATGACGTATTTAGCTTCTATTTTTATACGCCCACATTGAAATGTCGTCGTATATTGTCGTCGCCCCTGTCCGTCTGTTGGTCCGACCGGCGTCCACAAGCTCTAGAGGCTAAAGTTAATATCTGATTGACTTTAAATTTATATACAGTGTTTAAGGCCATGAGACAAAGAAGCCTATTGATTTTCAGCGATTTCCGATAATTACTGCCAGAGTTATGGTCTTTGATCACTTCAAAAAATCTTGTGGACGCTCTAGAGGCTAAAGTTAATATCCGATTGACTTTAAATTTATACACAGTGTTTAAGGTCATGAGACGAAGAAGCCTATTGATTTTCAGCTATTTCTGATAATTACTGCCAGAGTTATGGCCCTTGATCACTTTGAAAAATCTTGTGGACGCTCTAGAGGCTAATCCGATTGACTTTAAATTTATACACAATGTTTAAGGTCATGAGACGAAGAAGAGGCTAATCCGATTGACTTTAAATTTATACACAGTGTTTAAGGTCATGAGACGAAGAAGACTATTGATTTTCAAAGATTTCCGATAATTACTCCCAAAGTCATGGCCCTTGATCACTTCAAAAAATCTTGTGGACGCTCTAGAGGTCAAAGTTAATATCCGATTAACTTTAAATTTATACACAGTGTTTAAGGTCATGAGACGAAGAAGCCTATTGATTTTCAGCGATTTCCGATAATTACTGCCAGAGTTATGGCCCTTGATCACTTTGAAAAATCTTGTGGACGCTCTAGAGGCTAAAGTTATCATCCGATTGACTTCAGATTGATACACAGACACAGAATTTAAGATCTTGAGACGAACAAGTATATTGATTTTCAGTGAATTTTTATGACTTGAACTGCTAAATCCATGATATTAAAAGTTTTGTATACTAAATGTTAGCATGGAGCAGAACTTTATAAAAACCAAACAAATTCTAATGGTTTTCTGAAAATTACTTCACGAGTTGTTACTCTTAATCAGATTTTAGTGTATTATAAATGTTTCATTACCGAAAAAAGTAAAAATATGTGACAACACTTGTTGACTGCCTGGGTGATTTAGCTGCTGTGGGCGTATGTTTCGTTGCCTGGCAACCTATCTTTGTATTTTTCTATGTCCAACTTTTTGAGAAGTTCAATTTTACAAGAGAGGACTTTTTAATTCTCTGGAATATTTAGTTGTACAATAGATTTTATTTAGCCGGAGGTAATTTCAAACACACGGGTAAGTTTATAATAACCAAAGTCAAGTAGTTTGTTCATAATCGAAGAAATCTGTTTAAAATTTACGATGGTTCAGACAGTAGGATAACTTTTGACACTTGAAAATTCAATCTATTCTAATAATGGCGACCAAATTTCATGTTTTTTTCAAGTTTTTGGTCAAATATATCCTAAACGTACTGTGTAATACCTCTACATATCGGTTTTAGAGGCAGGAAAGCACGAAAATGTCCGAACAACTGGGAAGCATCTAAGCTTTCAAACTATCAAAAACTGCGAAAAATCATGAAAAAAAATCTCATAGATTCGACTTTCAAGTCCTTGAGTGAAGAGGAGCAGCAAGAGAGGTGTAAGTAGGCCCATAAGTCGGACGCTACAGTGGCAGCAAGAAAACTGGCTACTCTGAAATGTTCTAAATGGTTAGTCTTAGCGAAAAAGACGCAATTCACAGAGAAAAAGAATACATGATTACTTCCAACCATTGATCAGTGCAAAGAGCTTGGTGGACCACAAACATCTAACAGACTTCCACTTCTTGACAGTCTATCTGAAAAGGAATTACTACAGGAAATCGACTACCTGAGGCTTACAATTGCACCTGGTATTAGACTTAGACTTAGCTCCTTTAACATTGGTTCCTTTCGATAATGGCATGTATCGGACCATAACTTCATAACTATACAATACTCTGTTATATATTAATCTGTTAATGAGTCTATTTCCGCCAATGTTAAAGGAGCTAAGTCTCTAACTTAATATTTTCAATAATATTTTCAATTTTAAAAATTAAATTTGAATTAATATTGATGTTGTTACCTTGCTGTGAAACTAAAGGATCTTAATATCCAATATTTGAGACACAATTAACATTTTATAATCAGTACACGAGTTTGTAATTCCATGGTTTTGGGTATGGAAGACCAAACTAAATACATTTCGTCTTTATATTAAAATACAATTAAATTAAACAAAGATAAAATTTACAAATCTGACAAGTGTCTGATTGTACGAAAAATCACTTTTTTACCTTGAAGACACTCTTGAGGTCACAATTATGATCCAATTTAGATAAAATTTGAAATGTTTGTTTATAACCCAAAGATCTCGGTTCCTTTTGATATTCGCGCATATCCTGGATTAGGGCCCCTGATTGTATGAAAAATCATGTTTTTAGCTTGTGGTCCACCTAAAGGTCACAATTTTTATACGATTTAATTGATAGGTTGTGAGACAACGAAACATACGCCCACAGCAGCTAAGTTGTCTGGGCAGTCAACAAGAGTTGTCGCATATTTTTACTTTTGTCGGTAATGAAACCTTTATAATCCACTAAAATCTGATTAAGAGTAACAACTCATTAACTAATTATCAGAAAATCATTAGAATTTGTTTGGTTTCTAGTTCTGCCCATGCTAACGTTTAGCATACAAAACGTTTAATATCATGGATTTCGCTGTTCAAGCTATCAAAAATCGTTGAAAACTCTGTGTATCAATCTAAAGTCAATCGAATGAACACTTTGGCCTGTAGAGCATCCGCAAGATTTCTTGAAGTAATCAAGGGTCATAACTCTGTCAGTAATTGTCGACTCATGACCGTAAACACTGTGTATAAATTTTAAATTAATCCGATGATAACTTTGGTCTCTAGAGCATCCACAAGATTTTTCAAAGTGATCAAGGGCCATAACTCTGGCAGTAAGTATTGGAAATCGTTGAAAATCAATAGGATTCTTCGTCGCATGACCTTAAAGGTGTATCTTGCCTGGCAACCGCTGGTTAATCATTTGAGCAGAATTTCTTGAAGATATTTATCAATAAAGATTTGACTTGAGGGAGATGGTTGAGGACAAAATGAAAAAATGTACACTGTAATATTTATACCCAGTTATTCGCCTTGCTAAAACAGAGGGGTGTTATTGTCCAATCGACAGTGTCTAATTGAATAATCAAAACGCAAGATTAACCCTTAAGCATGTTACAATATTTAATAAACATCATGTTCTGTTTTATTGTGTTCAGCATTTTCTTGTGATTTAACATTCGATTTTATTAATAACTTAAAGCTGCTGATTAAGGGATTTTGAATCTCTTGCAAACTTCTTTATAGTGACTGAACATTGAATCTTTGAAAGGAATATCATTTAGGTTTTTGGTTCAGTATTTACAAAGACATTCAATATCATCTTTGCAGAGGGCATAGAGTGAAAACAGAAGGGGGAAAGCTTTAGTAGATCCATTTTTGAACTATAATTAGGTAGAAGAATAATATTGGATCTGTAACATAATTTAACCAAAACAAATGTATAATACATTAGAAGCATCCTTTTGTATTCATTTTTGTATCATAATGTAACTTGTTTATAAACAAATGTACCGGTAAGTATGTACTATTAATCTATCTATAAACGCTTTAAAATGCTTTTTATGCAAAAAAAAAATTTTGTTAGTTTTTTTTTTAGATCATTTCTATATATATGTATTTATATAATCATCAGATGATTAATAGATATAATCAAAATACACATAGTTATTTTGTCTTCTGTGTCTTCTCAGTACTGTAGATGACTTCGCATCTTAAACAATTTAGCATTTTCTTAACAATATTAACCAGATAAGGTTAAAACACCTATAATCTTTGTTTTAAAACAAAAAGGGTTTGATGGAGGCCAGTAGCTGACACCAAATAATATTATCAGAAGAAACATTTTGCTCCAGCATCAGGAATTTTAAAAGAACTTTGCTTTGTCTAATAGAAAATATATATTCTGAATAATAATATCCAGAGTTCATAGGTTCTAACTCTACGCAGTATTTTTATTAAGCATCACAATCATGGTGGATTATTTTACTGCGGAAGCTTATTCTTTAAACCATATTTGGATGTATGAAGTGGTTATGTCTCTTTAATTAGCCAATCGTTGAAATTTAAATAAACGATAACACATGGTTTATTATTTACTACACATGCAGACGCAATGATACTTTTTCCACACCCACATGGAAATGTGGTCGTATATTGCTGTCGCCCCCGTCTGTCGGTCCGTCTGTCCGTCCATCGTCCACAAATTCTTGTGAACATTCTACAGACTACATTTATCCTCTTATTGTTTTGAAATTGATATATGTTGTTTACATTAATGAGATGAAAAAGCCTATTTAATTTCAATAATTTCCGTTGATTTCTTCTTGAGTTATAACCCATGTTTCACTTTGTTGCACCTTGTGAACGCTCTAACAACAAAAGTTATCATCCAATCTGTATGAAATTTATATGCGTCATTTGAATTAGTGAACCGAAGAAGCCTAATGAATTTCAGCAATTTCCGTTAATTACATTAAGAGCCATTCCACGAGAAAACCATGCAATATCCGGCAGATGTTCGAAGGTGGGGGTTGGCGGATTAAATTCATACTCACAGGGTTTGGTCGACCCATCGAGCCTACTCCCCAGCCAAAATCGCTGATTTCAGAAATCAATCGTTTCCGAGATACAGGCCGATTACGTTTTTCGGCTGATTTTTGTCATTTTAGGCCACATTTTAGCTATTTTTGTCACACTACTACCGCTGTTGCATGACCCTGGCGAACTAGGTTTTGGTTGTTCGTGATAGTTGGGGTCTTACCCTATCACATTATCATGGTCACCCGGTTCAAGTTCATTTTCCATAGGTGTCAGGAGACTACACAAGATATGTGTCTTGAGATACCTGAAATGTACCCTATCTTCAGATCGCGATAACTCCACTGGAGCAGGATTTGTGATAAAAATTAAAATTAATTTATTTGGAGCTTGACCAGTTCTAACAACATAAGAAATAAAATCGTTGTCATTTAACTTGCAAAAGTATGAAAATTCGTGTCGAAAGTTACCAAAAACTTTAGTTTTGATTGGGATACATCTGCGGATTATTCAGGTACCCAATCGCCAATATTGTTATTCAAAGGGTCAATATATCAACTCCGGCTCCCCTTCAACCCGCATTGCCAAAATATTAATTCTCGGTGTGGTTTGGTATCCAGTCTACAAATCCAAGATGGCGTCTCCCAGTGAATATGGATTTTCGCAAATTCTCGATCTAGAATGTCGATCCTGATTATTTAAACATTTTTTTTTCTATGAAAAATGAGAAATTTCAATTCAAAATTTTGAAAAACAGTCGAGTTAGAGCAGATGAAAGTCGACAATTATGCAAAACAGACCCAATTTCCATGAAAATCGCCTATTTAGTCTTCACCGTGACCTTCAATCGCGAGGTCATCAGGGATACAATTTGAAGTTCACACATTGCTCTATTGACAAACCATATCTCATTCGAAAATATTGAAAAACAAATGAGTTAGAGTTGGGATTTCAAAAATTTTCTTGTCCGACATTTTACCGAAAATAAAGGGGTATAACTATTATCGTTATTTAAGCAGACGGATTCATACCACAATTAAAAATCACGTGTCAACAAAATATTCAAATTTGAAGTTCACACATTGCTCTATCGACAAACCATATCTCATTCGAAAATATTGAAAAACAAATGAGTTAGAGTTGGGATTTCAAAAATTTTCTTGTCCGACATTTTACCGAAAATAAAGGGGTATAACCCTTATCGTTATTTAAGCAGACGGATTCATACCACAATTAAAAATCACGTGTCAACAAAATATTCAAATCCGCACGTAATAAAAATAGGAACACCTCGCCATTTTTGTATGCCCACATTCTTGTATGGATGTATATTGCCGTCGCCCCTGTCCGCCCGTCCGTCAACAATTTGTTTATGGGCACTCTACAGGTCACAGTTTTTATCCATTTTCAACAAAACTTGAAATATAGGTTTATGTCCCTAAGAATTTGGCTCCTGTCGATATTTGTATGTATCGGACAGTACTTTCATGGACTAGGGCCCCTGAACTTACGAAAAATCACGTTTTTAGCTTGTGGACACTGCACATGGAGGTTACAATTTTTATCCGATTTTGATGAAACTTAAAAAGTACGTTTATAACCTAATGAACTCGCATATCGGATCTTAACTTCCTGGATTATGGCCCATGATTGTACAAAAAGTCGCGTTTTTAGCTTGTAGCCTCTCTAGAGGTCACAATTTTTTTTTTGATTTTTAAAAACGCTAATGATGGCGGAGTTTGAATTTCGTGAAAATCGGATCAAAACTGCCGGACAAAATGGCCGCTCCTCGTGGGCAAATAGTGTAAAAGTATGTAATTCCAAGGTTGTGGACACCCTCGAGGTCACAATTTATATCTGATTTTCATGAGACTTAAAATAATTATGTTTAGATCCCAAAGATCTCGGTCCCTGTCGATATTCGCGCATATCGGACCGTAACTTCGTGGAATATGACCCCCTGATTTTAAGAAAAATCATGTTTTTAGCTTGAAGTTCCTCTTGAGGTCACAATTTTTATCCGATTTTAAAAACCGTTTCAATATATCACCGCTACGCCCTAATGACAACTAAGTTTGAATTTCATGAAAAACGGAGCGAAACCACCGGACAAAATGGCCGCTCCTCATAAGCAAATAGTGTAAAAGTATGTAATTCCAAGATTGTGGACACTCCAGAAACACAATTTTTATCCGATTGTGATGAAACTTAAAATGTATGTTTATATCCCAAAGATCTCGGTTCCTTTCGATATTCGCGCATATCACATCGTAGCTTCCTGAATTATGATCCCTGAATATACAAAAAAACATGTTTGATCTTGTAGTCCCTCTTAATGTCACAATTTTTATATTATATACTTTTATATCCCAAAGATCTTGGTTCCTTTTGATATTGTCGCATGTCGGGCTGTAACATACTGGATGATGGCCCTGGTTGTACGAAAAATCACTTTTTATTTAGCTTGTTCTCTGTCCATCTTTTGCAAAATGTGGTTGTATCTTGCATGGCAACCGCTTATTCATATTTAATTCCCGTATGGTATTCAAATTTATGACAGTAATATTCCTACAAAATTACGTGTTTTCGTAATACGATAGGATGAAATTTGCCGATCCGCGCCTGTATCAATGAAATTCACGCCAGTAATATTCCCCCAAAATTACGAGTCTTTGTTTATACGTCAGCAAATGAAGAAAGGCGTCCGAAATAAGAATTATTTGTGGTGATGTCAAATCATTTTCGTAAAATGGTATTTTAAAATTACATTGATAGTTAAATTACTTGTGAAAGGCATACATAACTTCGGCGTATGGCGTACGTGACCGTTAACATATAACACATACAGTTTGTTTCGTAGTAAGCACTGCCTTACATAGTAAGCGATTTTCGTGCGATAATCGGGATCGCGAGAAAGTGCCACTGTAGATGGGAATTTATATATGGTGTCTTAAAAGAAGTAGTTTCATTACGGAAAATAAGTTAAAGGTTTAATAGCTAACAATAGACAGAGGTTTTGAAATTTATAATGACTGTCCATTGATTTAGGGTGTTATATACTATTACAATAATATGTGACATCAAGGACTAGTTTTTACATGCTGTCGGTTGATATCAATGGATTAAACTTTCCAGCAATGGAGAAACCACCGAGGTAATCACGTAGATAAGGTTCATACTCATTATTGGATTGATGAAAAGTCCGACAAAAGAGAAGCAATGACTTCTGTACAAGATTAGATTGGTGAATTTCCCGACAAAGTAATAAGTCAGTCAAGCAAGGCAGATTAAGCAGGTAAACAACGTAGGTCTATAGACGGTATAATACGATAAATACGCTGATCACGTAATTACCTAATCAATCCAGCCTATTATCAACAATTATCGGGATGAGTGGTAGTTTTACACTCAGTTTACTATATTAATTTTGAAATTCTGAATATTATTCATCATACCATGATGTCCGATTGGGCATATTCCTGGCCGGACATTTAGAAAATAGCGTAGGACATGTCCGGAATATACGGGCGAAATCCCAACACTTAAGAAACTGAAATTCGACACGAAAAGTGACGAATTTCGTAACTTTCGACACAAATTTTCATGCTGTTGAGGGTTAGTTGACAACGATTTTATTTTTTATGTTGTTAGAACAGGTCAAGCTGCAAATAAAACGATTTTCATTTTTATCGCAAACCCGGCCTGTTCCAGTGGAGTTATCGCAATTTGAAGAAAGAGTATAATTCAGGTGTCTGCAGACACTTATTTTGTGTAGTGCCATGACACCTACAGAAAGAGAGGTTGCATTGGGTGACCATTATAATATGGTAGGATGAGACCTGGACTATAATCACCAACCAAAACTTATTTCGCTATTGGTCGATTAACGGCTATAGTAATGCTACAAAAATGGTCGAAATTTGACCTGAAAATGATGAAAATCAGCCGAAAAACGTTATCGGGCTGCTGTATCTCAGAAACGGTTGATTTCTAAAATCGATGATTTTGGCTGGGGAGTAGGCTCGATGGGTCGACCAAACCCTGTAAATATGAACTCAATCGGCCGACCCCCACCTTCGAACCTTCTGCATGGTTTTCTCGTGGAATGGCTCTTCAGAGTTATGGCCCGTTTTTCACTTTGTTGAAACTTGTGAACGCTTTAATTACAAAAGTTATCATTTTATATGCATGAAATTTATCTGCATCATTTAAATTAGTAAAACAAAGAAGCCTATTGAATTTCAGCAATTTCCATTAATTACATCTAGAGTTATGGCCCTTGTTTCACTTTGTTGAATCTTGTGAACGATCTAATGACACAGTTATCATCCGATCTGTTTGAAATTAATATGCATCATTTAAATTAGTGAAATGAAGAAGCCTATTGAATTTCAGCAATTTCCATTAATTATGCCGTGAGCTATGGCCCTTGTTTCACTTTGTTGTACCATGTGAATGCTCTAACAACAAAATTTATTATCCGATCTGTATGAAAATTATATGCATCATTTAAATTATTAAAACAAAGAAGCCTATTGAATTTCAGCAATTTCCCTTAATTACATCTAGAGTTATGGCCCTTGTTTCACTTTGTTAAATCTTGTGAACTCTCTAATGACAACAGTTATCATCCTATCTTTTTGAAATTGATATGCATCATTTAAATTAGTGAAATTAAGAAGCCTATTGAATTTCAGCAATTTCCATTAATTACGCCATGAGTTATGGCCCTTGTTTCACTTTGTTGTACCATGTGAATGTTTTAACAACAAAATTTATTATCCGATCTGTATGAAATTTATATGCATCATTTAAATTAGTAAAACAAAGAAGCCTATTGAATTTCAGCAATTTCCATTAATTACATCTAGAGTTATGGCCCTTGTTTCACTTTGTTGAATCTTGTGAACGCTCTAATGACAACAGTTATCATCCGATCTATTTGAAATTGATATCCATCATTTGAATTAGTGAAACGAAGAATCCTATTGAATTTCAGCAATTTCCGTTAATTACACCGTGAGTTATAGCCCTTGTTTCACTTTGTTGTAACATGTGCTCTAACGACAAAAGTTATTATCCCATCTGTATGAAATTTATATGTATCGTTTAAATTAGTAAAACGACCAAGCCTATTGAGTTTCAGCAAATTTCTGTTAATTACATCTAGAGTTATGGCCCTTGTTTAACTTTGTTGAATCTTGTGAACGCTTGAACGACAAAAGTTATCACCTAATCTGTATGAAATGCATATGCATCATTTAAATTAGTGAAATGAAGAATCCTATTGAATGTCAGCAATTTCTGTCAATTACATCTAGAGTTATGGTCCTTGATTTACTTTGCTGAACTTTGTGAACGTTCGATCGACAAAAGTTATCCGATCTGTATGAAATTTATATGCATTATTTGAATTAGTAAAATGAAAAAGCCTGTCTTATTTCAACAATTTCTGTAGATTACTTCCAGAGTTACGGCCCTTTTTTTAGTTTTTAGAACCTTGTGAACCCTCAAACGACGAAAATTATAATGTCATCTGTATTAAATTCCCCTAATTACCTACAAAAGAATAAATATGTGACAACCCTTGTCGACTGCTCGGACAATTTAGCTGCTGTGGGCATATGTTTTGTTGCCTGGCAACCTATCTTTTGATTATTCAAATTGCAGTTATTTAGAAATTTAAATTTCTTTAAGGATCTTTCAGTAGTAACAAATTAACTTTTATGAATGATTATTATATTTTTTGTTAAAAAAAACCCAACTCATTAAAACAGTGAAATGTATTGATTCAAAATACCTGTCCTTGCCAGTTGGGGATGTATAGTACAACTGGCTACTATAGACTGGTTGAACAGAGCGACTTTCTGCCCAGATATTTAATATATGCATCTATCAGAGCGAACATTACAGTCCAAACCCATCCTTTCCTCTAGATATTTATTGTGTGCATCTAACAGTTGGATATATAGAGCCAAAACCTAGCCCCCCGGGCAGACATTTACTTTATTAGTTGACTTTTTGCTCAGATATTAAATGTATGAATCTATCATTGGGTGCATCTAACACAGTGATATTTACAAACAAAATCTAAACCTCCACCCAGTCATCAGTAAGAATCTATCAGAGCTACCTTTACAGCCCAAACCCATCCTTTCCTCTAGATAAAACCTACCCCTCTAACCAGACATTTACTTATTCGGCTAGTGTAACCACCGCTTAACAGAGCAAAATTTACAGCCAAAACCTACCCCTCGGACCAGACAGTTACTCTATCAGTTGAACAAAGTGATGAAAATCCACCCTTTACCCGAAATGTTTAATATTCGGGATAAAGTTTACCATAATACTGTTACCAAGAATGAGCGTGTACTTCCAACATAGTTGATATCTTGGGTTTTTGTGGTTTTATCTATTGGGGTTGTAGTACAGTCCTCCTGCACTTGGTAAGGTAGCCCAAAATACCGTATGTCTGAAATATCATGCACACATGATGCAAATACTTAATTTTCTGATGAAGTATGCTCCGAGGAGTGGGGGTGGGGGGTTTATAATTTTAAAAAGTTCAACATTCACACTTTTTTCTTTCTATTTATGGTTTAATGTACAAAATACAAACACTTGACTTCTTGTAATAATTTTTAATGCTTTAACATTTTTAAAAGATAGGGATTTAGATTGTCCTCTGTTTCCCAGGAATCAGAGGAAGGAGGGAAACCGTATTTCCCTCTTATCCTTCTTCTCTTTATAACTTTCTCTACTTCATATTCTGAAAAGTATAATTTTAATATTCTGTTTATTTCAATAAAAAATTCAATTTGTTTTGTACAGACAACTAAAATCACCCGAAAGTCAGGTTGTGACGTAGGTGTAATAAGCATGGCGGTAATTCAAGACACCAAATATAAATGAAAAAACTTTAAAAACTGTAGCCTCTATACAATTCCCAAGGTTTTCGGAAATATAAACAAATCTTACCAGTAGCCATAGCTTCGTCTCGTTCTGGGATTATTAGTGACTGGTCTTTAGCGCTTTCTTGCTCCTTGAAAAAAAAATAAAACAAAGTGGAATATAATAAGATAATAATTGCTTTGTAACAGAAAGTTAAAGAACAAGGAAAGTCGACGGGACTTGCCCTTTCATTGTCCCAATTAATGACCTCAAATATTACAAAAAATTGTTTTAAAAATTGAACTGTAACCTCTAGGTTCGATTCTGCCCCTCCCTAACCTTTATGTATATTTCACACCAAATATGAAAAAAACCCCTTTAAATACTGTAACCGCTATAAAAATCCCAAGGTTTTCGGAAATATAAACAAACCTTACCAGTAGTCATAGCTTCGTCTCTTTCTGGTATTATTAGTGACTGTTCTTTAGCGCTTTCTTGCTCCTTGAAAAAAAAAATAAAACAAAGTTGAAGATAATTTATTAATACTTATGGTAGTTAACAAATGAATAATCATGCTTTTGATTTGTAAGAGAAAGTTCAAGAACAGAGAAAATCGACAGGGTTAATCATTTCATTGTCCAAATGAATGACATCAAATATGAAGAAAGAACTTTTAAAAACTGTAGCGTCTTGGTTCAACATTGGCCCCCTAACTTTTACGTATAATTGTGAAATATGCACGATTATCGTGGACCCTCCAGAGGCCAAATGTATTGGTCCGATTCAGATGAAACGGATGTATTGAGAACAGGGCAATGACATAATTTATGACATCAAATATAAAAGAAAACCCTTTAAAAACTGTACAGATCTTTGGGTCAAAACATACATTCAAAGATTCATTATAAAATCGTATAAAACTTGTGACTTCTTAAGGGTCCACGACCTTGGTATTACATACTTTTACACTATTTGCGTACAAGGAGTGGCCATTTTGTTGGGCGGTTTCGGTCGGACTTTCACGAAATTCGAATTCAATCATCATTAAGGTGTCACGGTGATATATTTAAACGTTTTTTTTTAATCCAGGAAGTTACTAACCGATATGCGCAAATATCGAAGGGATCCAACATCTTTGTGATATAAACATGGATTTAGAGCGTCATCAAAATGCAATGAGAAGCGACCATTTTGTCAACCAGTTTCGGTCTGATTTTCACGCAATTCAATCCCAATCATTTTTCGTACAATCGGGGGCCATAATCCTGGAAGTTTCGTTCCAATGGTGTGGACCCTTCCGAGGTCAGATGTAATTAATCGAATATAATGAATGAATATATTGAAATTTTCAGTCAAATTACTTTATTGATATTCTGAGCGAAGTTATGACTCTTTCAACTTTTGACCAGGAAACTCCGCACCGTCCATATTCTCGATTATCAAGTACCATTGCCAATATAATAAACACTGCCTCGATTGTCAAGTATCATTACCATTATACTAAACGCGCTCTAGATTGTCAAGTACCATTGTCAATATAATAAACGCTGCCTCGATTGTAAAGGACCATTGCCAATATAATAAACGCCGCCTTGATTGCTATTTCCGTGAGTGACATCATACATGCCCGGAAAATATTAGCGTTTAACAAACACATGGCTGGCATTATTTAATCCATTCAATATCTAAGCTATCTGATCCTCCAGAAAGTCGGTTATGTGCTTACCATGTGAATAAAAGTAATAATTCATATAACTTTTTAAGCCATAAAAAAATCCCGCAATAGACAAATATAGCTCTGTTAATCTCTTATCATCAGAATACTATAACTTTCTAAATATGAACATGCACCAATCGGGCTAATGAAGACGACCCTTATAGGTTTTTTTTGTTTTTTTGTCCCCCGCCTTTCGAAGAAAGCAGGGGACTATTAAAATGGGTTCGTCCGTCTGTCTGTCCGTCTGTCTGTCTGTCCGTCACACTTTTTGGGACACAATAACTCTCTTCCTAATTGAGCTAGAATGTTCAAACTTGGTGTATGTGTTTATTAGGTCAATGCCTTGATGGAGTTCGAAGATGAGCATTTTCCGCTTAGGGTAAGCAGAGATAAGCAATTTGATTGGTTGATGCTTTGGGACACGATAACTCTCTTCCTAATTGGGCTAGAATGTTCAAACTTGGTGTATGTGTTGATTAGGTCAGTGCCTTGATGGAGTTCGAAGATGAGCATTTTCCGCTTAGGGTAAGCAGAGATAAGCAATTTGATTGGTTGATGCTTTGGGACACGATAACTTTTAATTGAGCTAGACTGTTCAAACTTGGTGTATGTGTTTATTAGGTCAATGCCTTGATGGAGTTCGAAGATGAGCATTTTCCGCTTAGGGTAAGCAGAGATAAGCAATTTGATTGGTTGATACTTTGGGGCACGATAACTCTCTTCCTAATTGAGCTAGAATGTTCAAACTTGGTGTATGTGTTGATTAGGTCAATGCCTTGATGGAGATTTATTATATGAATACCTTAACTAAGTTCGATAATGAACATTTTTTGCTGAGGGTAAGCAGAGTGATAAGCAATTTGATTGGTAGAAACTTTGGAACACAATAACTCTCCTTCTAATTGAGGTAGAATGTTCAAACTTGGCATAGGTGTCTATTAGGTGAATGTTTAAACTTGATGTATATGTAGATGTTCATTAGGTGAATGTCTTGACTGAGTTCAATAATTAACATTTCGAGCTGAAGCTAAGCAGAGCTAATCGATTTCATTTGTCGATGGTTTGGGACAAGATAATCTTGATTCTATCTGATAGAGAGTGATGAAACTTAGTGAAAAAAATAAATGTGCGATTAATTAATATGTGTCATCTATTTATTTTGCAATTTCGGCGGGGGACATCAGCCTCACTGTTGGCTTGTTTTTTAAAATTTAAATTGAATATACCTTTAGTCATTCTTTTTGATCGGTTTCCACCGAATTGCTCCTGAATATTGCTGGTTCTCCGATCTTTTTAACATCTAAAAAAAAAAGAATAAAATAAATTTGTAACATTTTTTTTTTTTTTTTTTTTTGGTCATATATGTAATTATTCAGAGTACTAGAAATAATGGCTAAATATGTTTTAAAGAGTAATCTCTTTCCATGGAAATATAATAATTATTCATCTGAAATTTGACATATTAGAAACTGAGACAACTAATTACCTGAAAATTAAGATTAAATACTTAAAACAGAATGCTTCTCAATGTTTCAACACAACAGTAGGTGGATTGTATTCATTTGATTATTAATGATTCATATGTCGGGAGAGACAGCTAAAGTAAAGCCTGTGTGGCGTGCTGATTGATAAAAAAAGGGAGGTAGGGGGGGCAAATGTAATTTGAATTAACCATAGAGCATATTTACCTGACAATTTTAATCTCATCCACCCCCATTATCTGTTTGAGTTTCTTTGCACCATACTGGGAGGGTGGATGTAACATCCTTATTCGCTGGCAGTCCACTGATAGTACCATCTTGAATATTCTTGTAGGTCATAAACGACCCTTCCTTGCCGATTGCTTTAGCTTTAATAAATTAAAGATACAAGGTGATTCATTTTCCCACTCTTTATTGGAGATACATTATTATGACGTTTGTAGATAATTATGATAAGTTAAGGGGCTACCCTCAATTTATGGTGGAATTGATGAGAAATTAAAAAATAAATAAATTAATAAAAAAAAAAAGTACAATTGTGTATCATCTGATATGTAGATGAAATAATAATTCATGATGTCTTACTATGAGAACAAGTGGTTTAATGTATAAGCCAAACAAGATCAGTCCGAGGACATGATTTGGTTACCTAACCATGCTCAAACATGATTTGGTTATCTTCCATGTTCTTCCCTACACAAACCAGATCGACTCCTATGTCGGATAAGTCAGTAATCTGAAGATAAACAGAATATAGTTTATCATCGATTTTCCACTGGTATGATATGTTTTAAAGATATGCTTTTTATTTATCAATAGAAATTAGAAATATCATACTGCAGCGTGGCGCATTGGCATTTTTGCACGTTTAGAACCTTGTAATAGACAAGAGACAAATAAATTAAGACCCATACCTACTGCAACATATCATGTATAAACGCACATGAGTATATAATTTTTAACTATTTTTAAACAACAACAACAAGTGGTTTTCATGCTAGAGAAAGTTATCTGTAAAACAAACATTAAAATGAAACAATCTAAACGTACAAATTCCAATGATTTATACATGGGCGAAGAGGCCGATATGTTCCATCTCCTGGCATAAATATTCCTAGCTGTATAAAAGCAACTTTCATAACGTTAAAAATACTCAGAAAGGCCTGCAGAATCAAAAAGATATATCCTGGATCCGGTCTGTAATCGCCTATATCGTGCTTTGGTTTGTCTTTTTTAAAAAAAAAACCCCACAAATCACGAAGAACTTATATTGTGAACATAAGCGTTCATAAGTTTGACCTTAAACGCGTAGCCTATGGCGATGTAGCTACGCGATTTACGATCGAAGAAAAGGTCAAATATCCGCCAATAACCTGACTACATGAAATGTTGGCGTAAAATACAGAGAGAGGTTTAAACTGTTTATAAAAATTAAACCTACTTTAATTTCTAACATGCTTAAAGTTATGAATATTCACAGAAGGTCAAGATTGTCACCTTTGTTTTCGTGTACATACAGATGCCACAAGAGTCGGTTACTTTTCTGTGATACTTTCTTCCGCTGACCTTTTTCTGTCAGTTTCCAATCCAGATCTGAAAAATATATATAAGAAACATTATACGACTGATACGTTGTTTTTCTAATCAAATTAACCATTGAAAAGAATCTCTTATCTAATTTATTATACTCTCTGACAAATTCATGTTAGTTAAAAAAAATTGTTAGAAAAAAAAATAATAAAAAATTTATAATAATAATTGTAATAATATTGCTAGGATTTTTGCTCTTGAAATAAGATGGCTTTATATTTCATTAATTAATATTATATCTTTGGCAAGTTAGTAATTTCAAACATATTCACATATATAGTGTGCACTAAATCAACTTAGTCTGTAATTGACATATTGTTATATAAAAAAGAGTTATTTAACCATAACATGTCTCTATAAAATACCCCGAGATTACACGTGAGTGGAATTATTCTAATTGCATCATTTAGCTTAAAGTAACCAATCATATCGTTAATTGCATAGGTTCAGGGCCATGAACAGGCTTTCTGTGCGTGCTATGCAGGAATCTTATAAAACAAATCATAGTAAAGTTTTAAGTCAGACTTGCATTAGATTCCAGAGATCGAGGGTACATCTGAGTTCCTAGACAGCCGAGAGGCTGGATAGGGTGGAGAAGTGGTTTTAGCTATATAGTATTGTAATTTGTGCTATGTTTGTATACCTGTATTCAGTTATATGCTATATAAAATGTAGAAGCGAACTATGCATTATTATTCCTGGTAAGACAAACGTCTTAAGAAACTGGAAGAAGTAAATACACAACGTGAAGCAGAAGTAAAGACAGCAAGAGACAAATTCTAGACGATCACAAGGCTACAGAAATATGTAGTAAGAAAAGATGCATGGGTTCTATGTAGGATGTGGCGACCGGTTTGACAATGTCCGCTCTCCACGTCAGACAGAAAGACTCATGGTGCTACATAATAGCCTATTGTGTTGCCAGTTAATGAAGGTGTGTTTATCAGCCTTTTTAAGAGAGAAAAGGGACATCGCGCGCACAAGTCAAGGGAATGATAACTCCAACCCAGGAATACATGTGCAAATACTATAAATCGGCATGTTAATATTGCAAGTTTAATAAGGACAAACTCCCTAGAGATGTTTAATTCGACAAATCAATAATCGTTAGTAAAACTAACAGTTTTTCAGGATATTTAAAGAACTTACCAATATAGTTTGGAAGGGAAGTCCCGTCGGATAGTTGCCTCATGATGTAGGTGGCTGTGGGCCTTGGCCCTGGTTGCAATACCCTTGTTATAAAACTCTTTCAATATTGATGTTATCTAAAAAGGAAAAAAAATGAAGACAATACATTAATGACACTGTCAGAAAACACTGTAGGACTAGGAGATGTGTAATAAACTTATAAAGCTTAAATCAAGGAATCGGAAGTATTTACATCCGTGAACCATACTCCTGGTTTTGTTTTTAAAGAAACTCTCGAAGTATTTAATTTTGCAGGGACTCGTTTGAAAGAAAACTATATCTTATATTATTAAACATACATTATGCAAGAGCTAAATCTGCCTATTGCACTGAATTGCAGGTATTTCTTTAGGCCCGAAATGTTATCTAAATTATTGATTATACAATAATTAACCTATCCAGACCATAATCAACTCTAGATGGCATCGCTAGCCTGCGATCTTCACGATTTAACGATTAAATGGATAATTGAGACTATGCTGTTTATCGTACTGACTTTAGTAATGATGATAGAGGCTAGGCGGAAATTTCAAACGCTTAGTTCTCGGTTCATAACTTCATAGTGGATCAATTTAAATGAAATTTTCAGCAAATTGCCTTTACATTATCTAGTTTTTAACTATTATAGTGAGAACTGCCAACTCGTTATCGAATCTTCCATCATAATGTATCTTTAAATATTAATTTCAAAACCAGTGACAGTGAGCTGTTGTGTTGAACTGTGAAATGAGAACGTTAAAGAACTTAAAGTGGTAGCCTACCATGTCCGTCCCCTTTTAATTTAAAATTATCTATAATCTAATCGAATTTGACAGTATTAATAATATTAATAGGGACTAAGAGGGGGGGGGGGTCAAGGGAGGCCATAAAGGCATAATATCTTCGTTTCGTAGTGAGACCGATATTAGAGAGGTTCCGCAACCAGTACGAAGTACGAAGTCCGAACTACGAAAACGGCTCCGTACTTCGTACTTCGTTTGTGGCAGATTTCCGTTTCCGCCAAAATGCGAAGTCCGAAGTACGATGTTTAGTTCACGGCTGTTCACTTGAAACAAGGAATAACACTGTTCAGTTTGGTTAAATAAAAAATATCAAATCAAATCAAATTTTAGTCCTCAAGAAGATAATTGCAATTTCTTTTACTTTTTATCAAATTCGAGATGATTCGATCTCATCGCCGACTGTCCAGAAAAAAAACAAATGTCACAGCCCGACAATAATTTGCACAAAATCAGAACAATTGCCGATCACTTTGACGCTGATCAACCTTCTACTAAAGTGTAAATGTCCAATCTTTCTATAAAACCGCAAAAATACGAATTTCATCCACAAATCAGCGAGAAAATCACGATGTCGTACTTCGTTTTTTAACCACGACCTTTTCCCGATTTCTTCGTAGAAATTGGACGAACCGAACGCCGCTTATATCAAGACATCACACGAAGTGATGACGTCAGCACATAAACACTTCGTAGTTCGTAGTTCGTACTGCCTGCGGAACCTCACTATTGCCGCTTCTGTAGAGCAAATACTCACGAATAGGCCTATGGAACGTCGGGTGTAAATAGCCTATCAAGGCCACCTGGAGATTTTGTCATGGTCATGAGATATAAACACTACAGGCCTAGAGAGAACGTGATTTAATTTGTTGCTGGGGAATGTGGGTTAGGGTTAAGTCTTTTTTTCTAGTTCAAGGTCAGTTTTAAACTCAAAACGAGGTACGAGGGCGTACTCGATACCACCCTTGGATCGACTACCGGCGCGGCAGTCTTGTCGAATTGATAAAATAAAAACCCGGCGCAATATTTTAAAAATGTAATACGCATGCATAATCTGCTAATTCTCAGTAGGCCTAAATTCATTATTGCTCTACATCGTGGTAAAGTTCTTAAATTTTAGGAACTGGGCCTGGCCCTTGTCAGCCAGTCACAACCATATATATATGATATAGAAAAAAACGCATTATATAATATAAGCATAGGCCTTGGCAATTGCAATAGGCATAGGAATCAAACAGACTAGGCCTAAGTACACAAGGTCTAGCCGATTTATAATCTAGGATTTGAGGCCAAAGAAGGCAAGGGGCTAGGCTAAATCTAGAAATAAAACCTAGGCTAGCCTAGTTAAAAATGAAAATAAAGGCCTACCGTAGTTTTAAGTTTAGGAGGCTCGAGTTACGACCTAGCCAAGTCTATTCCATTCTATTTTAGAATCTGGACCCGTGCAAAGTATTTAGAATCTTACCTCTGACTGTGGCAGTGTAGCCGTAGGGGTAGAAGAAATCTGTTTTGTCCTCGACATCGTAAAGCCTAGTAACAGTAAATTCGTACCGGTACAGTTCTTCTAGAATCTAATTTTGGTCCAAGATGTCGTATAGCGCCTAAAACTACCACCCTACGTCATTAGACTCTGAAGACGTAGACACGAAATCTTATTGGCTAATGTGTATGAACATAAGGCTATGGTATTATCACACCCTACTCAATCGACCAACCTCAATAATATATATTATTATATTATAATATACCCCCTGTTCAACCGGGTGGAACTGAATCATATAGGGTGTATCAGTTGCATCGGGTGATAATACTGGAAATAGAAAAGAGAATATTATTCATTGTCAATTAAGAAATAAAGCTATACCGTAAGTAACTTAAATAATCACTTATTCCACCATTTTCTGAGCGAAACAAAAGTGTGCCCTAACTGTAATTCAAGACGAAGATAATTACCATTACTTTTTCATATGTCCAGCCTACTCTGCCACAAGAACATTTCTCCAAAATAATATACACTAGCTTAAACTAAATGTTACAATGGGTCTTATTTTATATGGCAACACCGATCTTTCAGATGATACCAATTCTAACATATTTGTAATAGTGCCAAAATTTATAAAAGATAGCAAGCGGTTTTGAAGTTTTAATTATTAAAACTATGTCTACATTATGTAATACTTTTCTATTTTCATAACCTTAAATGTAATTATAATGTATATCTAAACATTGCACTCCAAGAAATGTATATATGTTTGTAACTCACTACCTATACATATGTCCGCCATTGTTTACTGTAAACATAACATTAAACTATTTTATATGTTTGGAGAGAACTTATATAGGCCTTTGCCTGTTGTTCAATCCATTTCAGTTTATTGGATAAAATATTGTTTAAACTAAATCGCTATTATTTTGGGCCTAGAAATTGGCACAAATGGGTCGCAACACATATAATAATGTAATATGAATTTATATAAATTGTTTTACATTCAATCGTTTCTGTTTTACTGTGAATTGTCATCAGTTATGTTCGGCGAAATACACCAGAAGTCTCAACCGAAAGACAGTTTCTAGCGTCATGGTTATTCCAGTCAACACCGATAGTATATATTGCGCATGCTATCCAAATAAGAATATGGCATCATCGTTTGACATGACTTGTGGAATATGTCTAGCCCCATTCTTTGAACACCTTGTTACAAATGGCGCTGAAACGCATTATGGTACACGATTCGTGTACCAATGGTAAAATGTTTATTTTGTCTTAAATATTGGATATCAGAAGCCCATCTTTTCCAGGTAAGACCACAACACCAATGCTGATTTAAATTGCAAAAACAAATCGTGTTTTCAATGTCGAAGATTTTGGATGATATTGAGTTACAGACTTAGCTACTTTATTATATTGGCAGAGATATCCTTTCATAGACATGTTACTTGGAAACGATTTTTTTTTTATCAAAAATTTGAATTCTCGAACACCCAGACTATGTAGAGCACTGGCGTCATATAAATAGACCCTTTCCACGCGGCCCCTGTTATATAACTCTACTAGCAGGATACCCGGCTTTGCTCGGGGGTCATAACTCCGAAACCGGAAGTGGTAGACTAACGCCACCTGGCCTATGTTACTCCCCGGTCCGAGCTACCCGTATACCCCAAATTTCAGACTCGGGGCAGACCTAGTGTAGCCGCCAACCCCGAACAGACAGACATACAAACGACAGTCACAAATATATATATAATAATAGTATATATTATAGAAGATAGATGGGGAGGGGGAGGGGTCTATTTATATGACGCCAGTGATGGTCACCACAGTAAATCGCTTCGAACCAGAAGAAAGAATGCCTAAGCTTATAACTAAATATGTAAGTAAACTGCCAACTGCTATACGGTCAAGCAAGAAGCTAAATTACACACTAAATATTGATAAATGTTTGAAGAAAAAACTGGATGCCGCCTTCAGAGACTCGATGACATTAAAGCAAACTGGGGGAGGGATACGCATTATTTGGAACAGCGGCTACTACGAGGAATTTCGTCGAGTGACTAATTTATACTATGCAAGTCTGGAACAACGAGAGCTTTTAAAAGTAGACATCTCCAACCGAGTAGACAAACAGAATAGTTGCAGTTATACAGTTACGACTATTATCTCGCTTGAGAGTAAGAGACTATACAAATATGTTATCAATTACTACAATACCACGTCCACTGTCCTTGTGAATGGCTCCGGAGAATCCATTTTTTTAACCGACCACTTTCCCGAAATCGTTGACCTCATTAGTAATGAAAAAGCTGAAGATTTAAGTAATATTGTAAAAGAGTCAGTGCATCACAGCTTCAACCTGGGCCATAAAATTGACCAATCTGAAAGTTTCCCAGGCAGTCTATATGAAAACCAAGATTTACACCCGATCTCTCTGACACTAATTCTACAACCTCCATACAGGAATCGAGTGTGCAGAATATTTCTTGGGAACTCCCTTCATCTACTGAAACGAATGATATAAATCAAGGTATCGGTACAATCAAACAGAAAAGAACAAGTCGTCTGCCTGTCCCGGAAAGATCCTCAAATATAAATAGATTGAACGAAAGAGGTACATATATACGGAGCCCGGTAAGGGACGCAAAAAAAAAAAATATAATAATAATAACCGGCGCGCGCCGGATAATTTCCAATAAGAAATAGAATGAAATGGGGTTTAAAGTCCTACTGTTCTGCTCCTACTGGACTAATCAAGACGGGCATACGCCATATATAGTGCGTACTATGAGGAAAAGTTTGCCCGGGCAACGGTACTACGGCTTAACCCTTATATCGAATTCCAAATGCCAGGGGATCATTTACGTGCATGCCAATGTGGACACCAGACCTCGGTATTTCGTCCCATCCCAACTACTGTACGTTGACCGTAGGCTCGCTATCCAGGAAACCCCTTGTTCCATCACTGCTTTGGCCGAGGAAGTTCATCGGCATTTTCCAGCGTGGTTCCTCCTGCACCATTGATTGACAAGGAGGAACCACGCCGGAAAATTCCGAGGAATTTTCTCGGCCAACGCAGGGATGGAACACGGGACCACCTAGATAGCAGGCCAACGTCTTATTAACTGAACCACGTTTGGTAGCCAAATAAGGTCTGACATTGAATCAAGTGACGTGGTTTTGATTCCCGCCTTGTACGTGGCAAAAGGAGGGTCGGGTCGCCTGTTCAACCGTTTTCTTTCGGGTGTTCTGCTTTCCTCCTACTAGTAATTACCCCTTCGCACAACACAAGAGAATTATTAAAATAAAATGTAAGCATATGTTAGCCCCGAAATTACCTAGTTTGTGTCGAGTAGACGTTAAACCCCACCTGTCTGTTGGTGGAAAATTCCAAAAAAATATCTGCCGCGCGCCGGATAAATAACTGGCGCGCGCCGGATAAATAACTAGCGCGCGCCGGATAATAACTGGCGCGCGCCGGATAATAACTAGGTTCTCGTCACTACACGCATGTCGCTAGGTCATTTCGGGACTAACATATGGTTTCATTTTTTTTTCAATAATTCGCTTGCGCGTAGGGGTCTTTATCAGTGGGAGGAAATCGGAGGACCCGAAGAAAACCCACGAGGTTGGACATGCGACCCTTCTCCTTGTCACGTCAACCGGGGATTCGAAACCACGTCAGTTGACTCAATGACAGGCTTTATGATACAGCACGTACGTGCTAACCATTCGCCTTTATGGTACAGGCTTTATGATTCAGGCTTTATGATACAGCACGCACGTGCTAACCATTCGCCCCCCCCCCCAATTTTCAGTTGTAGTTTGAGTTGAAAAGCAATGTTTTGAGTTTTGACTTCGTGAGAACAAACCGGATGAACTGGAGAAAACCTACATGTACAGCACAATTCCACCAACAGACAGGTGGGGTTTAACGTCTTCTCGACACAAACTAGGTCATTTCGGGACTAACATATCCTTCCATTTTATTTTAATAATTCTCCTGTGCGTAGGGGTGATTAGCAGTGGGAGGAAACCGGAACACCTGAAAGAAAACGGTTGAACAGGCGACCCGACACCCCCCCCCCTTTTGCCACGTACAAGGCGGGAAGCAAAACCACGTCACTTGATTCATTGTCAGACCTTATTTGGCTACCCAACCCTTTTTATTGGAAAGGGGTCCACGTGGTTCAGTTAATAAGACGTTGGCTCGCTATCTGGGGGTCCCGTGTTCCATCCCTGCGTTGGTCGAGAAAGTTCATCAGGATTTTCCGGCGTGGTTCCTCCTTGTCAATGATTGGTGCAGGAGGAACTGAAATCCCGATGAACTTTCTCGGCCAAAGCAGGGATGAAACAAGCGGCCTCTTGGATAGCGAGCCTACGGTCACCGTACAGATGTTGGGATGGTACGAAATACCGAGGTCCAGTGTACACATTGGCATGCACGTAAAAGATCCCTTGGCATTTGGAATTCGATATAAGAGTAGGCCGTAGTACCGCTGTCCGGGCAAAATTTCTCTCATAGCACGCACTATATGGCGTATGCCCGTCTTCATTAGTGCAGTCGGAGCAGAACAGTAGGACTTTAAACACCATTTCATTCTATTTCTTATTGGAAATTATCCGGCGCGCGCCAGTTATTTATCCGGCGCGCACCAGTTATTTATCCGGCGCGCGCCCGTTATTTATCCGGCGCGCGCCCGTTATTATCCGGCGCGCGCCGGTTATTATTATTATATTTTTTTTTGCGTCCCTTACCGGGCTCCATACATGTAACCGTCTAGCTACTCTTCAAACAAATTTAACCGCTCTTGAATCTACAGTGGCTGGCTTGAGAGTGGAATTAAATAAAATCACCTCTTGTCTCCATAACACCCAGGCCGAGAATATCTTACTGTGTGAAGTAATAAAAATTCTTGAAGAACTAAATTGTGATTTAAAGTTTGCTGTTGATGACATCAGAAGTGAAAATGCAACCTTAAAAGTTTCAAACATGGACCTCATGAATGATTTAACTCTGCTAAAAATGACCAAAGCACCAGAGCTTGAAATTGAACTCATGGAAAAGCCAAAGGTGAGCCCTACAAACGAATCAAAGATTACTGCTAAACCTGTGAGCCCTACTAACGAATCAAAGATTACTGCTAAACCTGTCCCAATCGAACGCCATGAGCGGATAAAACCTTTAGATAAACACAAGAACATAGTGATTGGCTCGTCTATCTTGCAAGACATAAAACCAAGGAGGCTTGATCATAGTGGTGACACAGCAGTACGTACTATTAGTGGTGGAAAAATAGGAGATACATACAAATTCCTTGAAAAATGCCAAGTATCAGAAGAAACTCATCAAATTGCTTTCCTGATTGGATCAAATAATGCTTCTCCGCACACTGATTTCAATGATTGTAAAAATTCATACCTCAATCTTATCAAACTTGCAAGACACAAATTCCCAAAAGCAAATGTGAATTTTCTTCAGCTCTTACCAAGACCGAACAGAAGAAATAGAGACATTAATAAGCCTATTCACACCCTAAATAATGTGCTACAGGAAGTGTGTGCTGTTACTAAAAGCAAATTTATTAGGACTTCAACCAGCTTCTCTCACCATAATGATAAGAATAAAATCAAGCATCATCTTTATCGCAACGAGGCTCACCTTAACGTTAAAGGCTCTGGCAGACTGACTTCAATCCTCAAAGGGGCCCTCAACCTATACCAGGGGACAACCGTAAACTCCCTGAAATCTGATGAAAGCACACTGGCAACTTCATATTCGACTTCAGCTCAACATCATTTACCACTACCAGACGCCAGATTTCCACCACCACCTCGTGTACATACATCAAGATCATTTTCAATGAACATTAACAAAAGTAGCATATGGCCTCCAATCTCCAGGAACTAAGCCTCTCGTATAATTACATGTACATAACATATAGTGCTAAGTACAATACATCATGTATACGTATATTACATGTACATAACATATAGTGCTAAGTACAATACATCATATATACATACTATTAGTGCTGATCAGTACCATTGGCATTGATACTAACTACAGAAATAGTTTCTTTAGTTTCATGTTATGTTTCTAAGTTGTCTATATCGCAGTATATATAGTGCTCCAGATTATTTTATACACGTGTGCTAAATTCATAGGATGTGTTTAAAGTGCTATGCTTTCCTACCAAAAAGTGTGAGTTACACTACATGTAGTTCCCTGTGTGCTAATTCCTACATCGTAGCTTGTGTTTAAAGTGCTACAGACTTAGATATAGTTTCTTAAAAGCCATTAATAGCATCTTCCTTGTGTGTGGTTCATGAAAAGTCTTTCATGTAAACATATTGAGATCGTATATTTATAAGTATATCATGAAGAATATTCTTTAAAAGTGTTGTCAACATTGTAAACTTTATGGTATGTCATTCTATTTGACATTGATAGACCACATAGGATTAAGCTGAACTGCACACTCCATGGATGCTCACATTCTTCTACCCTTTCCTTGATTGAAAATATGTGTATGACACTTTACTACTTTAGTTGCATGCACAAAATCTGTTTGTATTTGTGATTGATTTACAGGTATATTTATCAATTTCGTTTTATTAAGTCGATAGTAATTGATTGTCGTGTAAATAAGCTTTTTTTTTAGTGTAAACAAGCATTTTTCTTGCTACTTACATTTATTGCGTGCAAATATTCGTATTTGTGATTGTTTTTATAGGTACACCGTACACGTATGTGTACATGCATTCATTTATGTGTAGTTTTCATCTCACCTTGGGTAATACGTAATTGATTCTCGTGTAAAACCGGCACTTACTTATTTTCCCTATATTTATTTTTTTTTTTTTTAATTATTCTTTCTTTTTTTTAATTCTTTTTTTCTTATTTTTTTTTTCAAAAATAAGTAAATAATTATATAAAAAAAAAATTAAATCCTCGATGTATAACTTCTTAACTCAGAGAGGCCTACGCTTCTGTCACCTAAATGTATGTCATTTATATAACAAATTAGATGAACTAAAGCTGTTAATTGAAAACTATGATATAGTAGGTTTTTCAGAAACACATTATTTTCCAAAAGTATTCAAAAAGGCGAAGGTGTTGCCGGTTCATAAAAATGGACCGAAAACTGATCCAGATAATTATCGGCCAATATCAATACTTCCAACAATTTCAAAAATACTTGAAAGACATATTCATCGTAATCTTTACAGTTATCTGAATAAACATAATCTGATAAATACCTATCAATCCGGCTTCAGAAATAAATACTCTTGTTTGACTGCCCTTACCAATATGACTGAAAACTTTTATGAAGCCCTTAATAAAAATAATCTTATTGGTGTAATATTTTTCGATTTTAGAAAGGCTTTTGATCTAGTTAACCACAATATTCTCTTAGCTAAATGTAATTTGTACCAACTTTCAATCAACACTATTAATTTCATTAGTTCTTATTTATATCAACGGTGCCAGAGTACAATTGCTAATGGACAAACATCTACTTTTCAGCCCGTTATACATGGAATCCCACAGGGATCCATTCTAGGGCCTTTAGTGTTGAACATTTTTATAAATGATCTCCCCCTCCACCTGAAGGCCTCCTGTGACCTATTTGCCGATGACACTACGGTTTACACTGCCGCAAATAACATGTCTGACCTTCAATTTAAATTACAACTAGATACCGATTTCCTACTCAAATGGTGCCAAATTAACCTTATGCTTGTAAATGAACAAAAAACTAAATGTATGGTAATTACTACTAAACGGAAAAGAAAACATATTCAGCCTAACCTGTCAATAATTATCAATAATTCTATTACAGAAAATGTCTCAAACTTCAAACTACTAGGCGTAATCGTTGATAACCATCTATAACATAGTTTGAGTTAATAGAAATAAAACATGATCTGGATGCAACATTTTATTCTAGCATACTAGATATACTATAAAGTCGTACCTGGTCAGCCGCCAAAGCTGGTCTGATTTACATGAAAAACCAAAGCCAATTTATACTAAATTCACTTTGATAACACGGGTAATTAATAATATGGAACAAAAGGACTTATGTAAAGACTACATAATTAAATCATTTGTCATTGATAGATTATCTCTCTATAAGCATAAATATGGCAGGCTTCAGAACAATTGATGTGTGACAGCTAACGCTAGTAAACGTCATTAGTGATCAGTGGATTATCTAACTTGACCATTATACATATGGCAGCATCTGGTTCTTTATTAAATGAACAATAGTGTGGTCAATTAAAGAACAGTGGAGAGTTTATTACACATGCGGTCATAGGATAATTATAATCTTTTACCTTTCACTGTCTCTCACACTATGTAACACATCTTCAGTGGAATGAGCATGTTAAATATGTTTCAAAAATCATTAACCAAAAATTGTTTCAACTTCGCAAATTAAAACAACTTCTACCTATCAAATTTCGGTCTATGTTTTATAAGTCAAATATTCAACCCTATTTTGATTACTGTTCACCTATATGGGACAGCTCTGATAAACATTTTTCAGACTTACTTCAACGGGTGGTACTTTTTACCGCCGACCACCGCCGACTACCGCCGACCAATACTTTTACCGCCGACCGTCGTGAAATTACCGCCGACCAAATACTTTTTACCGCCGACCGCATTGTAATGACTTTCGATCGTAACATAATTACCGCCGACCAAATACTTGTTACCGTCGACCAAATGCTTAATGATTCCTTGTTACCGCCGACTATATAAAATTAATTAAATTATTAGTGACAAATAAATAGATTTGGTTAAATACACAGAGTTTGATAAAAATATAGATTTTATTATATATAAATATGGTCGACAACCCTAACCCTCGCACTAATAAAAGATAGGCCTAAAATGTTATTTATTTATAACCAGTAGCTGAAACAATCTTGATATATTTGCCCTTCAATATCTAAATTGTAGTTTTGTCCTTCCATATTCTTTAAAATATATATGAATGTTTTTCGACAGTTGTACGTGATTGCACCTTCAATAAAAAATAACATTCTTGTTGTATTCTTTTTTAAAAAAAAAAAAAACAACCGTAAAATAGTCGGCGGTAACAAGGAATCATTCCTCCTACTGCTAAAGACCCCTACGCGCAAGCGAATTATTGAAATAAAATTAAACCATATGTTAGTCCCGAAATGACCTAGTTTGTGTCGAGCGGACGTTAAACCCCATTTCTCTCTCTCTCTCCTGGCTTAAAACCTGTGAATATTCTCCGACGTCATTTCGAACACTGATTACAAAAACCAGAAATGAAATTGGGTTTAACGTCCTACTTTTCTGCACAAACCGGGATAATGAAGACAGGTAATACGCCATGCAGGGACAATTGTCAAGGCATCGGGGTTGCCGAATACTCTTCATCGATTTTCATCTGTCAGGGGTTCTTTTACGTACACGTCAACGAGTACACGGACGGACTTCAGTTTTTCGTCCCTTCCGAACAACAAGATGCCTTTCCGTGCAAGCTCAAGGCCTTCCGACCTGGCCAACACTGAACCACTGCGGAACCACCTATAGTTACCTATAGTATTTTTTACACAAGCAATTGTCCTTTTTTTTTTTATAAATTCGGCAAATATACCCCCAACATGGCTAGAACTCTTTGATTTGCGTAAAAACTGAAAGTGTCGATTTAATTAAATTTGTATTGTCGATTTGTTTTAAGTGGATATCTGTCAACATTTAAACTTTTAAGTCCACGGATTAGAGCCGATGTTGAATTATGAAGGTTTTTTTTGTTCGACAGTCGACAGAGTAAAGCGAATCTAGAATTAGTAGGTGAATCATTAAGCATTTGGTCGGCGGTAAAAAGTATTTGGTCGGCGGTAATTACACGACGGTCGGTGGTAAAAAGCATTTGGTCGGCGGTAGACGGCGGTGGTCGGCGGTAAAAAGTACCACCGTACTTCAACTCCAGCAAAATTCAGCTCTTAAACTTATTCTTGATGTTCGACAAACTGCCGAAATTTCTGATGCAGCCAATAATGACAATATCAATGTTTTGAATGTGGAAAACAGGCAACTATTAAATAAATACATGCTCTTGCACAAAATTATAAACCAACAATGCCCAAACTACCTCGCCGAAACACTGTTATATAATTCCACCCCTTAATAAACGACTGATTGTACTAAGACCAAATCTTAGTGTAGTCAAAAATAGTATTAAATTCTGTGGATCACGCCTATGGAATACATTACCATGCTTTCTCAAACATTTGAAATCCGGCAACGCCTTCCGCGCCCAACTAATTAAATATCTAAATGAAAATTAATTACCGTCTTTCCTCTATTTGATTAACCTTATAATCATACAATCTATATACATTGTTGCATATATTAATTATGAATTTGTCAGTCAATCTTCTTTAACGCCATATTGAACCTTTTATGTGCCCACAACTTAATGTACATCTGTAAATACATGTTCAACTTGTTTTGTTTCTTTTTAGTTTCATTTTTAATGTATAAATTTCTATCTCTCCTCTATCTATTAATGTACATATGTTCCCATTGATTGAAGGGCAAAATGTAAGAAAGGCCATTGGCCTAATTTTCAACCATTTTGAAATAAAGTTATTATTATTATTATTATTATAGTGCTCTACATAGTCTGGGTGTTCGAGAATTCAAAATTTTCTGGAAAGATCTATATGACGTCACATCCGAAGCATTAATTTAAGAAACGCGCACCGGCATCTGAACTGTTACTGTGATAAAGGCGTCGTAGAAGAAAGGTTACTTGAAAAAGAAAATAATCAAAGACGAACAGATAAAAAAGTAAGTTATATTAGATGATTATTCTATTCACACATACAGCGTATGGTAGCCCAAAGTCCCAGTAGTCCTATAATTAGGCAAATGCAATTTTTATATTCATTGGCATTGGGCAAAAAACGATCATTAATATTAGACTTTTCGATATAGCCTAAAATAAATCATCGACTCATGGAGAACCGCCAATGGACCATGATGATTGAAAAGGAAACTTTAACTTGGTTTGTTGGGTTAAACGGTGTCATACATACAAATGTGGGATGTTTTTAGTTTACAGAATTCGACCATCCATACGCATTATTTAAAAGCCATTCTAATTCTAACTTGAAATGGGGTAGCCTACATTTATTTAAATAAAAAAACTGGCGAAGCCACGCGATACAATCCGTTGATCGGTAAAGACGTCTTCAGTCTTACTAGATATACTGTAATTATTTAATACACGCCTAATCTTATTAAATAAGAGTCCGAAATAACATCAGATCCATTCATTGACTTGAGAAATACTCTTGGCCTAGGTTAACTAGGTATCATTTTTCTAGAAATTTCTCACCGCGTGGTGGGGTGTTATCACGTGATTAATAATCGACCAACTTGCATGACTTCCTACAAATTAGTACAATAAGAAATTTAAAATACATACTGTAATGTATTTCAACAAAGCCAATCATTTACTTTGTTATCGTGCTCCTTGTCCCCAAATTTAATTTCTAATAATAGTTTATGCAAATTATGACAAAAAAGCCTTTCACCAAATTTCAAGAATTTCTGTAAATTACTTCCAGAGTTAAGACCCTTGTTTAAATTTAATAGTAATAGGGCTATGAGAATGCAAAATTCATTTATTAAAGATACATTAGCATTAGCTAAGAGTTAAATAAAGAGTTGGTCATTCTTGCTATATAATAATTCAAAAATAGATGATAAAAAAAGAAAATATTGAAAATTTCATTCAAATTACTTCGTTCTCAGCCAAGTTATCATTGTAGTTTTGACAAGATGTGTGCTCAGTGGTAACCAAGTAGAAATGGTTCCACTACTGATGTCTTCCGCCTTACTCCAGCCACAGTAGTGGCTCATCCTACAGAGTTCCTTTGTGCAAGTTTTTTAGTCAAATGAGTACAAAAAGGTTACTGGCCTATAGCACCCTTAATTTACACATAAACTCACCCAAGACACCACTGTTTTTGTAATAAAGTAGACCCGTATTGTTTGTTAATTGACTTTATCCGATGATTTAAAAAATTGGCGATGGTTAATATTGGGTCAAAAATAATTCCTTAAATTGCGCCGGAGCCCCTTTTAGATAAATTGAATTCGCATAAAAACAACAAAGAGTGCCTACGTGCGATTTTATTCTTTGATACACGGGACATTTCTGTTATTCAAACAAATCTGCACGAGAATTACAACATACAAGTTGACAGTTACCATTGATTTGGGGTTGGTTCATGTAGAATAGGCTCTTATATCAAGCCTACAGTTATTCTTTTCTAAAATAAAATGAGAGCTGTGGATTTGATAGTGGTTATACTTTACTAATATTCTCTGACATCGGAGACTTGTGTCGCGTTCATTTCATTTTTGCGGTAAGTACAAGCTTCTTGTGTCTGATTTGAAAGCACTTTCGACTCCCGTTGCTAGTTCTATTTGTCTTATTTCTATTTGTAAGACTGGTAACCTAAATACCGTTAATGTTTGCAATTTTAAAGTCTATCTTTGCCGTGATTCGAGAGTAATTCTTAACTATGTATAGTCTTATGCATACGTGTCCTTCAAAATGTACTAGACATGCAGCTTTACATGACTGGTTGGAAATGTAACCGCATATGATATATCGTGTAGAATATGTGAATGTGAACACCCGTGTTCTTACTATACAACTTTACCTAACACGTCCGTATTATTAACGAAAATATTAAACATTCATAACATCGTGGCAGTATATCGTTTTGACATTGATTGTTTATGACAAATATCGTGTCCCGCGATTATCGTGGCACACGACAGCGACTGCTACACCAAGTTATTTATCGTGGCGTTATCGTGGCAATTTTCAACAAAAAACAACACGATAATTGTGTCCTGTATAACTTTCACGCTCTCCGTACTGCACGTACTCGATAAGATTTTGTTTACATTTTAAATAGTGAAATTAACACAATAATTTAAACAAGAATTCAACAGTCCGTGCACGAAGTGCCGTCAGTCAGTGCCAATACGGCGAGGATTTAATACAACCAGCAGTCAGTAAACCAGGTCCAGAATCTTTTCGGACAACTGGGCCGGTATTCATGATGAAAATACCGGACCGAGAGCTATTTTATCGGTAATGTCCGACGGCTTTCGCATGGACTGTATTGAATTTCAGCAATTTCTGTTTATGTTATGGCCCTTGTTTCACTTTATTGAACTTTGTGAATGGTCTAACATCAAAAGTTATATGCTGATCTGTATGAAATTTACGTGCGTCATTTAAATTAGTAAAGAGAAGAATCCTATTGAATTGCAGCAATTTCCGTTTATTACTTCTAGAGTTATTGCCCTTGTTTGACTTTGTTCAACCATGTTAATGCTCGATTGATAAGTTATCATCCGATATGTATGAAATTTATATGCAACATTTAAATTTGTGAAAAGAAAAAGCCTGTCAAATTTCAACAATTTCAGTAGATTACTTCCAGAGTTGAGACCCTTGTTTCAGTTTGTAGAACATTGTAAACCCTCAAACTACAAAATTTATAATCTGATCTGTATGGAACTGTCTAGTAAAGGCCCCCAATTACCTACAAAGGAATAAATATGCGACAACCCTTGACGACCACTCGGACGATTTAGCTGCTGCGGGCGTATGTTTTGTTGCCAGACAACCTATCTTTATAACAGATATTGCAGTTTTTAGCTAAATTTATCATCCATAAATTCTAAATAAATCATCAGTAATCCAAATTACATCATGCTTTCTATTATTTGTGGTATATGTTGTAAATAAAAGAACAAAAACAGAAGTTGAGGTTTGTTTACTTAAAGTTACAAGACTGTTTTTATTACTATAAAGGCTTATTTTTTTTTAATGTCCTTCGGCGAAAATGACTAAGTACAGCTAATTAATATGCGCATATGTCATCATTTCTTTAATATATAGAATTTTGCAGTGAAAATGCTTACTTAGGGGTTTCTCATGCTGATCCCTTTAAAAAAAAACATTATTTTTTCTCTCTGAACATTCCAATTGCTACTTTTGGTTACCATGGCAACAAAATTGCGTTTTTATACGCCCACATTTTTATGTGGACGTATATTGTCGTCGCACCTGTCCGTCCGTCCACAATTGTGAACAGTCTACAGGTCACAATGGTTATCTGATTTCAATGAAATTTGAAATATAGGTTTATCACCCTAAGATCTTCATTCCATTCAATATTGGTATGTTTCGGACTGTAACTTCATGGATTATGGCCCTTGATTGTACGAAAAATCACGTTTTTAGCTTGTGAACACTGTAGAGGTCAAAATTATTATCCGATTTAGTTTAAACTTGAAATGTTTGATTATAACCCAAAGATCTTGGTTCCTTTCGATATTCGCGCAAATCGGAACGTAACTTCCTTAATTATGGCCCCTGATTGCATGAAAAATCGCGTTTTTAGCTTGTGGACCCTATAGAGGTCATAATTTTTATCCGATTTGAAAAACCGTTAAACCCTAAGGACGGCCGAGTTCAATTTCGTGGAAATTGACCCAAAACTGACAGACAAAATGGCCGCCCCTCGTTCTCAAATTGCGTAAAAAAATATGGTATATCAAGGTTGTGGACCCTATAGAGGTCCCAATTTTTATCCGATTTTGTTGAAACTTGAAATGGAAGTTTATAACCCAAAGATCTCGGTTCCTTTCATTATTCACGCATATTATGGCCCCTGATTGTACGAAAAATCGTGTTTTTAGCTTTTGGACCCTATAGAGGTCATAATTTTTATCCGATTTAAAAAAAAAAACGTATTATTATATCACTGTTACACCCTAAGGACGACCGAGTTCTAATTTTGTGAAAATCGGCCCAAAACTGACAGACAAAATGGCCGCCCCTCGTTCTCAAATTGCGTAAAAATATGGTATATCAAGGTTGTGGACCCTATAGAGGTCCAAATTTTTATCCAATTTTGTTGAAACTTGAAATGAAGTTTATAATTCGAAGATCTTGGTTCCTTTCGATATTTGCGCATATCGAATTGTAATTTCCTGAATTATGGCCCCTGATTGTAGGAAAAATCACTTTCGTTTTAGCTTGTTTGCTATCCATCTCTCGAAGATGTGGGTGTATCCTGCCTGGCAGCCGCTGGTTATCCGATTTTGTTGAAACTTGAATTGCAAGTTTATAACACAAAGATCTCAGTAACTTTCGATATTCGCGCATATTGAATTGTAATTTCCTGAATTATGGCCCTTGATAGGAAAAATCACTTTCTTGTTAGCTTGTTCTCTATCATCTCTCGAAAATGTGCGCACAATTTTTATCCGATTTCAACAAAACTTGAGATATAGGTTTATCTCCCTAAAATCTCAGTTCCTTTCGATATCGGCATCTATCGGATCGTAACTTCATGGATAATGGCCCCTGATTGTACGAAAAATCACGTTTTTAGCTTGTTCTCTATCCATCTCTCGAAAATATGGGCGTATCCTGCCTGGCAGCCGCTGGTTATCCGATTTTGTTGAAACTTGAAATATATGTTTATAACCCAAAGATCTCGGTTCCTTTCGATATTCGCGCATATCGGACCATAACTTCCTGAATTATGGCCCCTGATTGTACGAAAAATCACGTTTTTAGCTTGTGGACCCTATAGAGGTCATAATTTTTATCTGATTTAAAAAAACGTATTATATCACCGTTACACCCTAAGGACGGCTGAGTTCGAATTTCGTGTAAATCGGCCCAAAATTGACAGACAAAATGGTTGCCGTTCGTTCTCAAATAGTGTAAAAATATGGTATGTCAAGGTTGTGGACCCTATAGAGGTCACAATTTTTATCCAATTTTGTTGAAACTTGAAATGTAAGTTTATAACACAAAGATCTCGGTTCCTTTCCGATTTTGTTGAAACTTGAAATGTAAGTTTATAACCCAAAGATCTCGGTTTCCTTTCGATATTTGCGCATATCGAATTGTATTTTCCTGAATTATGGCCCTTGATTGTAGGGAAAATCACTTTCTTCTTAGCTTGTTCTCTATCCATCTCTCGAAAATGTGGGCGTATCCTGCCTGGCAGCCACTGGTTCAAGTGGTGCATATAAAATGTTCCAACAACATTTAAATTTTTTTTTCTTCAGAAAAATGGCAAGAGCAACAGCTGTTGGCATAGACTTGGGTACAACTTACTCATGTGTGGGAGTTTTTCAACATGGTAAAGTTGAAATTATTGCCAATGATCAAGGAAACCGAACTACTCCCAGCTATGTTGCTTTCACAGATACTGAACGTCTCATCGGAGATGCGGCTAAGAATCAAGTTGCCATGAATCCAGAAAATACAGTATTTGGTAAGTTGAATTCGTCATACAGTCTTAATTTCAATGACTTGATAATATATGAAGTGTAAGATGTATATAAGGGTCACTTTTTGGTATTGTGCACAAAAGTGTGACATATTTGCTAGAAAATAAACCTTCACTAATTTTGCTTAAATATATCTGCATACAAAGAAAAATATGTAACATTTTCATATTTTAGAAAGAAAATTAAATTAAAAAAAAAATATAATTTTATGCCTGAATGTTTAAGCTCATGTTATACAGGACACAAATAGTGACTCAGGTTTTGTACAATTTTTGAAACTACACAATTTTTCATGTGCTGTATCAGAACTCAGTTCATCTGACCAAAAATATAACCAGCATCCAGATTGTTTACGCTTTTAAGACAGAAATACTTCAAAACAAAAAACTACAAACCTTATTGCGTGTACAGTGTTTACTCACATTTTACCATGGCCATAACATTTAATCTCTATTTATCAATTTTAATGTTAAATAATAAGCCTTATAATGGACTCCAATGTTACTAGTTTTAATTCCAATTTGTCTTTCTTGGTTTCAAGAAAATTAATTGGTTGCGTATGTTACATTTTTATGATGGACACCAAAATAGAAAAACACAAATTACATTTAACGTTTTCTTTATTATAAAAATAACAAATCCAGAAAAACTGGTGCCAATAATTCATTAAACAAATTTAAACAACTGAAACTGGTTACAACTTTTATTTTCCACAATTTAGTTTTTATACGCCACATTGAAATGTGGACGTATATTGCCATCGCCCCCGTCCGTCCATCGTCCACAATTTCTTGTGAACGCTCTAGCGCCAAAAGTTATCATCCAATTGTTTTAAAATTGATATATGTTGTTTACATTAGGCTGACCTTAAAAATATCTTTGTTTCGCCTAATGCGACCGACTAACTTAAACCACCCCGGACTTAAATTATTTTATTGCACTTTTCCGCGATCTTTTTATTTTATTTTGTGTCAACCTGAAATATATCACGAGAGTTATTTCCCTTTACTATGGCTATGGTTTGATTCATTATTGAAACTGGTTGATCAAGACGAAAGCATCATAGGTGTCGCTTCTCAACAAAATGGTTGTAGACGAAAGCACGTCCATGATTCTGCCTCTATTTTTCTCAAACGGATATTGAATATCCGTTTTTGAGAAAAATGAAGGCACAACCCGCACGATCGTTAAAAAACGTGTTGAGGGAGTTTCAAACGTCAATTTCTGGCAATTCGTGTGCGAGTCGTGCATCACGAAAAATCCCGATGTCATTGATTTGTTTGACAATAAAAGAAGACGAATGTTTGCACCCGGAAAATTATCAAGCTGTCAAATTAGCTCTTAAAAAAAAAAATCTGAAAAAAAAACCCGACCTACCGACCCTTCTCCTCGATTGTGGGTCGGGTTTGGTGAAACAAAGATATTTTTAAGGTCAGCCTTAGTAAGATGAAGAAGCCCATTTAATTTCAATAATTTTCGTTTATTATGTCTAGAGTTATGGCCCTTGTTTCACTTTGTTGAACCATGTGAACACTCTAATGCCAAAAGTTAACATATGATCTTTGTGAAATTTATATGCAACTAGAAGAATGCCCGGCTTCGCTCGGGTCATAAGCCCGAAACCAAAAGTGGTAGACTAATGCCACCTGGCATCATCCGATTTTTCTGAAATTTATATGCATTATTTAGATTAGTGAAACGAAGAAGCCTTTTGAATTTCGGCAATTTCCGTTTATTACGTCTAGAGTTATGGCCCTTGTTTCACTTTATTGATCCTTGTGAACGCTCTAATGCCAAAAGTTATCATCCGATCTTTCTGAAAGTTATATGCATGATTTAGGTTAATGAGACGAAGAATCGTATTGAATTTCAGCAATTTCTGTTTATTACGTCTAGAGTTATGGCCCTTGTTTCACTTTATCATCCGATCTTTCTGAAATTTACATGCATTATTTAAATTAGTGAAACGAAGAAGCCTATTGAATTTTAGCAATTTCTGTTTATTATGTCTAGAGTTATGGCCCTTGTTTCACTTTATTGAACATTGTGAACGCTCCAACGCCAAAAGTTATCATTTGATCTTTGTGAAATATATATGCATTATTTAGATTAGTGAAATGGAGAAGCCTATTGAATTTCAGCAATTTCCGTTTTTACATCTAGAGTTATGGCCCTTGTTTCACTTTATTGATCCTTGTGAACGCTCTAACGCCAAAAATTATCACTCGATCTTTGTGAAATTTATATGCATGATTTAAATTAGTGAAACGATAAAGCCTATTACAATTTACAATAATTACTTCTAGAGTTATTGCCCTTGTTTCACTTTGTTAAACCTTGTTAATGCTCGATTGATGATAGTTATCATCCGATATGTACGAAATTTACATGTATATGCATCATTTAAATTTGTGAAACAGGTCTATTGAATTTTTCCCGATTTGTAACCTTTTTTCAACTTAACGTCATACGGTGGCTATTTAATATTTTGTAATAATTTTAAAATATTTTGGAAGCCGATATCCTGTTCTTTTGCTTGATATAATTTTTATATATGTGTTCATTTTATTAATTTCATAAACGTAAGTTGAAAAACGTTAATTTCCTGTGTTTTGACATTACGCTGAAAAATTTTGTCACGTTTTTAAACGAGGGTACCCCACTTCAAGTGCTCGGCGGGCGCACTTATTATTACCGGTAATATTATTTTTTCATTCTAATATCATTAGAAAGATAAATGAACGATCTTTCAATTGGTCGGGGGTGCTTTGTTGGCATTTCGAAATACCATGCATTTTTTGCAAGTTGAACGCTTCAATTCATGCAATCTTTTTTTAGGCGATTTGTCAATATAGCACCCCCGACCGATTGAAAGTTCGTTTTATTGTCGTTTTGATGCTATTAAAATCAACAAAATCAGAGCATGGCAAGTGCGCCCGCCAAGCAATTGAAAATGGTATACAATGAGAAATTTTGTCAAAAATAAATCGCGTAGTTTAGCCTTGTTATGACGTCATTTCAACACCAAAACTAAAATGTATTCCATGTTCCTTAGACTCATATTCGCGGTAAATTACGTCGAAAGGCAACTCTGATGGTTATTTATGAAGTAAGCGTTATGTTATATGAATAAAGGACTTGCCTGAAAATAAATAAGGATAGTTAATTCCATTTTTTTCACGCCTTTTGGCTTTGCTGGGTTGACTGTTTACATCACGTGACTCATATTCGCGCGCTTTTATAACCATGTGACAGGATATAAATATAAAATCGAATGGAAATTTCCTATTGGCGACCACACGTCTTTACTTTTAACACCAAACATTTTTCAAGAATTGAACAATTCCGTAAAATTGACAAATGTTTCAAGCCCAATTTTAAAGCATTTCTGTGCACACGAATGGAAATGAAACCGGAAAACATCCACACGGGTCTTGGTACTGACAGAAGGCGTGAGGAAGATAGTATAGGTACTACTGATAATTAGTACATAAATTTCTATCCACTTAAACGGATATTATACCCAAATATATAAAGTTGGACCAACTAGCTGAAATAATTTGAAAAATGGCTCAATTTCTGGATTTGCCGTTGGCGATTTGCAACATTTCGTTTGAGATGATGGAACCGACATAGATTATGAATTAGGTCAGTCATGTCAATACTAATTACTATCATCACTCAGTATTGATACGGATACCCAATTTTCGCAAAACGTTTTAGTTTTTACTAAATAATTTAGCATTATATAACAGTTGTCATACTAATTATTATAATTTTAATTCTTTTTTTTAGGAAAATATATTTAACACCTCGAGGATCACATATTTGTTGGCCAGTTAAACAATTGAATGAACCGACAAACCTAAGGCCTTAATTGGGCCTTGATTCGATATTTGTTTACATTGATTAAAATATACAAAAAAAAAAGGTGCTCAATGGGCTACATACCAATTTGAAGGAATAATATAAATATTCAAAAGTGAAGTAAAAACATAACAATTCTTTGAGTTAAATTGTAGCTTTTAGGCCTAGGCTGGTTGTACGTGACAAGGAGTAGGGTCGCCTGTCCAACCTCGTGGGTTTTCTCCGGGTCCTCCGGTTTCCTCCCACTGCTAAAGACCCCTACGCGCAAGCGAATTATGGAAATAAAATTGAACCATATGTTAGTCCCGAAATGACCTAGTTTGTGTCGAGTGGACGTTAAACCCCATTTCTCTCTCTTTTATTGGTAAATGTTATCTTCTGAGTAGAAAATAATATGTAAAAGCAGAATTCTAACAATAATGTAAGCAAGGAATGCTGAGAACAATGATAATGCAACAAGAGTTGTCCGTTTTTTAAAATTATGTGGTTGCTATGACAACCATCCAAAATCCTTAATAATTCACTAAAATTATATAATTGTTAATATTTTGTATTACATGGGCTATAAATATATGCTAAAAAGCTTTCTGCTACTGTACTTAAAATGTGGCGATCAATTGGTTTGTCATGGAATAACATTGCCTTTTTTTTCGTTTTGATTGCTATAAAAACCAAATATTAAGTAATATACAAGAGTAAAGATAAGTAATTTTAAAAATTCACAAACATATTTACTTGTAAACAAAATTTCTCTTCAAGATCTTAATTCCTTTTTATATTTTATTTATGTCTTAGTGGCCAAAATGGACAACTAGCTACTGCAGAATGTTCTTCAAAAGGGAACCCCTTTCCAGCTCTTGGGAGAAGACATATAAATATTTTGATTTTATTTATTTTTTAAAATCTTGTCCAATAGCTTCTGTTTTTAAAATAATACAATTATCAATATTGATGTCATGATTATTGGAAAATAATGATTTTCGGAAAAAAATAAATGTGGTTGCCATGGTAACAGCCCAAACTCCATATTTTTCTCAAACTTACACAATCCATATCATTTGATATTACAGGGGTTTCAAATATTTTAAACTGCTTACTTTAAAATGTGGTGATGACC